AGGCTAAACGGCTACGTATTAAATAGTTAAATTCGTCCGACCTACCTACTAATAGCCTAACTAAGCCACTTAGCCGCTAGAAATATAAGACCTTTATGAAGCAGATAGGTATAGAGTACTTACTACACGACCTTATATAGTTACTCTCATCTCTAGCTCACTAGATCTTTAATCTAAAGACCTAAGGGGGTATATCAGCCTATATAGGTGTGTAGGTATATCTCCCTATATATATATATACTTACATATTACCTAACCGGCCTAGCTAGACCATTGTTTTTCCCCCGGAGAAAACCCCTCTACATACCCCTCTTTAACAGAGATACCAACCATAGCCTAATTAGCTATTAACTAAGGATCCTAACGTCCTTTCTGCACATTCCCATCCTATATTAAGATCTATTAGATTATTAGATCTCTACCCTATTTCCTTACTACCTAAACCACTGTAAATCGTGTATTTAAACGCTCGTTTACACTACTATTTAGCCAGCAGTTTAATCGACTTTATTATTCTTAAGACATTCTTTCCTTTCCTAGATAGTAGGATCCTATAACTAAGAGGAAGCTACTGCCTAGTCCCCTTTCGTCCTATATGGATCAGCCCCCGATACACTAGGATCTGTTAGGTACTCTAGTTCTTTAGGTAGCTACCTAAGGTATTCGATTACTACTTTAGGGTTTATATAGGCCTATAGACCCTACGTAATTACTTAGTCTTTAACCGCTATATACTACTAAATCTAATCGGCTAAGGTCCTTAGCTAGAAGACTAGCTAGTTAGTTTCTAATATAGTAGTAAGTAGTAGGTAGGAATTAACTAGAAAGGATAGGATAGAATAAATTAATTAAGTAAATAAGATAGAAGGTATATAATTAAAGGTTAAAGATATACGACCGGTAAGAAGGGCTAAACTAATAGAACTCCGTAAATCGTACGATCTAATTAGTTAAAGTCAAGGCTACCGGTCGGAGGTTAAGGTCTTTAGTCTAGTCTAAGACGGTCGGGCTTATAACTAATAGATCCTAGTGTAACGGGTATTAATCTATATAGGACGAAAGGGGACTAGGTAGTAGCTTCCTCTTAGTTATAGGATCCTACTATCTAGAAAGGGAAAGAAGGTCTTAAGAACAATAAAGTCGATTAAACTACTAGCTAAATAGTGGTATAAACGAGCGTTTAAATACACGATTTACAGAGATTTAGACAGTAAGGAAATAGGGCAGAGACCTAACAATCTAATAGATCTCAATACAGGATAGAAATGTGCAGATAGGATGTCAGGATCCTTAGTCAGATAGCTAATTAAGCCATGGTAAATATCTCTGTTGAAGAGGGGTATGCAGAGGGCTTTTTCTGCGGGTAAAATTAATCGGAAGGAACTTGTTCGTCCAACAAGAAGGTTAGGTCATCCAATGAGGGGTAAGAAAAGTGGGTCCGTCATATCTCAACAAAGCACGTATAAGCATATACATCCACACACCTACATAGGCTGACACCTACTAATAAGGACTTAGCCTAGTTAGGATAAAAGGTATACTCTAGCTAAGCCGCTACTTATAGGAAAACCGTAAGGACTAAAAGAATAGAGAAAACAATATAAATTAGTAACGAATAAATAACTTTCTCGTATAGAGAAAGAGCTACCCTACTATATATAGTATACGTATATCTATCTCCTAAAGTGTCTATCTTTTTTAAGGGCCGATTAGACTACATAAAAAGCTATCCTCTAAACTATTACTCCGGACTAAAGAGACTAATAAGGCAGAATGCCTAAGTAAGGACCGGTAGCCTAACTAATTAAGAATAGCACTAAAATCCATCAGTAGTTCCCCTACTATATTAGGTATAAATTATAGTAATATTTAGTAAATCTAAGAAAGCTTTATATATCTTTAATATACATAGATATTAGCTATTTAAGTATACTCTTAATTTTATTCTTCCGTCTTTTTTATTCCTTCATCGTTATGGCGAACTCTAGCACGGATACGCAAGCCTGTGGTGGTGATCGCGCCCGTCTTCCACTCGATCAAAACGGTATGTCCCTGGCCCTTATCTATTCCCACGACCCCGCGCATTGTACACTGCTACAAGGTGACATTGTGATTTGCGCCTGCCTAGAACTTGGACTCCTTATTCTCGCCGTGATCGGGTCCTTCCACATGAGCCGTATGGTGATCGCTTCCTCCGTCCTACAGCTAGTATCAGCCCTGTCCATGATCATGGCAAGTGTGGTGGAACACAGTCGCAGCCCTCGACCATCAATACTGCTAAACAGCTACTTATTCCTTACCCTTCTTCTCGATATCGCTCGAGCAAGGACTCTCTTCCTGCTGTCAGACCACGGCCCCGAGATCATCTACAGCATTATATTTGGTGCATCGGTCAGGCTGAAGACAGGCATCCTGGTCCTTGAGGCCTATCAAAAAGCGAGATGGGTAACCTGGGACGCAACGAAACACAGCCCCGAAGAGACGAGTGGGATCCTCCCACTCCTTTCGCTAGGCGTCTTCTTCTGGCTAAATAAGCTCTTCTTGGCTAGATATAGACAGACCTTCACAATCGAAAGCCTCTATCCCCTCGACAGTTCCTTCGACGCACAAGCCCTGCACGCGGAGGTCGCGAAGAGAATGGACTACAATAAGGTGGAGGAAGATCAATTCAGCCTTCTTAAGGTGCTAGTACGTACCTTACGGGTGCACCTACTTTTACCGATTCCTCCGAGGGCGGTTTTGATTGCGTTCAATATCTACCAAGCCCTTTTCATCGAGAGTCTCGTCACCTATCTGTCTCTTTCGCCACAAGATCCAAATGTGGGATATAGGCTAATCGGCGCTACCATACTTATCTACTCGGGAATTGGGATCTCGTATGCCTTATCCAGGTACAGACATCCTGCTGCTACCGCATATTCTCCTGTGACTTACACGATCACTAGGTACTGCCACCATCAACTGCGGACGATGGTCCATTCTATACTCGTCACTGAAACTTTCAGAGCCGCCACCAGAATCCGACTGGGATTAGGCGATGATAGCGCTGCGCTGACACTCATAAGCACCGACATGGAGCGCATTAGGATGGGTCTCTGCTTCGTGCACGAGACGTTGGCGAGCATAATTCAGGCAGGCCTTGCCGCCTGGTTGCTCCATCGGCAAGTTGGGGTCGTGTTCGTCGCCCCTATAGGCGTGGTAGTGGTTTACTTCGTTGGCTTAGGTGTCCTGATCAACTACACCGGTGACTCGCAGCGATCTTAGATGTCCGGGGTCCAGAAACGAGTCGGGCTCACAGCCACCGTTATCGCTAGCATGAAATCACTAAAGATATCCGGTCTCGCTAGTCCCGTGGCCGAGTACGTGCAGCAGCTACGTATTAACGAACTAGCTGCTGGCGCCCGATACCGCAGGATCATGATCATCGCCGCCATCTTCGCATTCATCCCTCAGTTAATTAGCCCTCCGCTAACCTTCACTTTCGCCCAGCACACGCTGAACGCTTCGACCATGTTTACCAGTCTTTCCCACCTGACTCTGTTGACCCAGCCGCTCTCACAGCTTTTCCAGTAAATCCCGGAGCTCGTTTCGGGCCTGGCCTGCTTGGGTCGGATCCAAGCATTCTTGAAATTAAAGCCTCGTCAGGACTATCGGCAGCCCCTAGTTGAAGCCCAATTACAACATACGGATCACTTTATTATCCGACATGCGAACTTTGGATGGAAAGCAGATAAGTTCGTGCTAAACAAAGTCAATGCTTAAATCCCCGCCTCATCCCTGACGATGGTCATCGGTCCCGTCGGTTCAGGTAAATCAACATTCTGCAAGGCCCTTCTGGGCGAGATTCCCTTTATCCAAGCAGTGTTTTGACAAAGGCTTCCCTACGCCACGTCGGTTTCTACGACCAATCTGCCTTTCTCTAGAACGGTACGATCAGAGAGAATATTATAGGATTCACACCCTTTAACCGTAAGCGGTATGACCAAGTCATTACAGCCACTTCCTTACGCTTCGACTCGACACCCTATCGCAGGGAGACCAGACTAATATCGGGCCGGATGCAATAGCGTTATCAGGTGGACAGAAGCAGCGTTTGTCTCTTGCGCAGCACTATACCTACCTTCAGACCTTTTGATCCTAGACGATGTGTTTAGCGGGCAGGACGCTGATCCTGAAGAGCAAGTCTTTCGGTAGGTCCTTGGACCTCATGGTCTCCTGCGGCGGCGGGGCTCGACGGTGGTGCTGTGCACACATAGTGTCAGACATCTCCCGACGGCGGATTATATCATTGCGCTGAAAAACGGCAGCGTCATAAAGCAGGGTACCTTCGTCAATTTGTCCACTCGCGCGGGTTATGTTCAGCGCCTAGGGGTGGGACTCGAGCAGGAGTGCAACGATACAACTGCTAACGATGAGCATGATCCTTGTCCCGAACGTGAAGGCCAAACTGGGGCTGGTAAGCAACTCGAACCCGCGATCATTGTTGACAACACGCAATTATTCAACCCAATTGCCCCAGCGGTGGCTAAAACCCGCCAGGTCGGTCATGCTACCGTCTATAAGCTGTGTTTCAAATTATAGGGTGGTCTGTGGCGACCTGTAGTTTGTTCTTTGCGGCCCTCTGGGGTCTAGTCACTAATTACCCAACCATCTGTGCGTCTCCACTACCATTTACTTTTAATCGATTCCCCCAATTAACTTCACCTATTCAGGGCTCACATACTGGAGTGACGCACCGAGTCCGTCCATCCTGCGCACTCCAACTCCTACTACGCGGGGATTTATGCCCTCCTGCAAATCTGCGCCATCCTTGCCCTCCCCCTTCTGGGAATCACGCTCTTCATCGTCTCCGTGAAGAAAGTTGGCGCTAGTCTCCACCAGCAAGCCTTACACACCTTAATTCGTGCATCTCTCTCCTTCTTCACAAACACCGACACCGGTGTTGTTACGAACCTCTTCTCCCAGGATCTTAACCTCATTGATACAGAACTCCCTGAGGCTACCCTCAACACCCTCTTTTGCGTATTTCAGTCGATTGGCCAAGCAGGGGTGATGCTCACCTCATCTGTCTACCTAGCTATCAGTTACCCGATCCTGGGCGCCGTGCTCTACTTAGTGCAGAAATTTTACCTCCGCACGTCGCGACAGCTACGATTGCTCGACTTAGAGGGCAAGAGTCCGCTTTTCACGCATTTCCTCGACACGCTTAAGGGAATCGCCACTCTACGGGTCTTCGGGTTCATCCCGGATGATGTATCTAAGAACGCTAGTCTGGTGGATGCCAGCCAACGCCCGGCCTATCTCCTTCTTATGGTTCAGGAGTGGCTGAACCTAGTCCTTAACCTCGTCGTGACGATCATCGCGGCGATCCTGACAACGCTGGTCGTCTGTCTGCATTCGATCTCAGCCTTCGCCGGTGCATCGCTATACTCGCTGATGACCTTCGGCGAGAGCCTCTCTGGGATCGTGATTTACTATACCAAACTGGAGACCTCCATCGGCGCTATCGCGAGACTGAAAACATTCAACGAGACCGTCACGCCGGAGGACCATGACAGTCCCGAAGAGGAGGACATCGTCCCAGATGCGAAATGGCCGGATCGCGGGCTGGTCACATTGCGTGGTGTATCCGCCCAGTATAACACCACTACCGTGTCAGAATCGGACTCTGATTTTGACTCCGTCATTTCTGGTGTCGGCACGCCGCTTCTACCCCTTAAGAACCTTTTTCTAACCATCTATCCGGGGGAAAAGGTCGCTATATGCGGCCGCACCGGCAGCGGCAAATCCAGCTTCCTTGCTCTCTTACTGGAACTCCTCGATCCGCTGCCCTCATCTAACAACAATCATGACCAGGAGTCTCCAATCTTGATCGACAATATCCCGCCTGCACCGCATCCAGCGCGCGACCCTCCGCCCACGCCTCATCGCCGTGCCCCTAGATCCAGTCTTCCTGCCCGATGGCTCATCCTTTCGCGCCAACCTTGATCCAACTAACACTGCGACCCTGGCGGAGTGCCAGCGCGTCCTCGAAGCAGTCCGGCTATGGGAGTACGTCCAGAACGAGCGGACGGGCTGTATGCAGCTTTCACGGCGGGAACCTTGAGTGCCGGGCAGAGGCAGCTCTTCTCGTTGGGGCGGGCAGTACTCCGTGCTGTGATCCGTTTGCATTCAACGACTTCCAAGGAGTCCGGCAATCAGAACCAAGGGGGGATCCTCCTCCTTGATGAAGTCAGCTCCAGCGTGGACCGTGAAACTGAACAGATAATGCAGGAGATCATTCGAGCAGAGTACAGCCACTACACGGTCATTGCTGTGAGTCATCGCCTGGAGATGAGCATGGATTTCGATCGGGTGGTGGTGATGGACCGGGGTGAGGTGGTGGAGGTTGGCAATCCGGCCCTCCTGAAAGGGGAAGCCGGGAGTCGATTTGGGGAGTTGGTGGCCGCTGCTGATGCGTAGCAGCCATATCCCCAACATCTGCTCACTACTAGCGAGCATACTTTCATCTTCTCAGTTGAATCATATCCATTCAATGAGCGCGCGTAACTGTGGAGGGCAGTTTGATGTCATTTCTCTCTGATTGATGACAGGATCCCGTACGAAACGAATTTTATCTCGTTTCGTACGGCCCAAAATAACATAGTCCAAAAATTATTGATTATAGAACCGCGAATAAGAAGTAGCATGCACCTCAATGCAGACTTATCGACCAAGCAAGATACCCGTCAGCAATGGGCCTTTGTATGCACAAACTTCTTAGGTCAACCAATAGCTGGGTGTCATATGCTGCAATAACGACCGAGGCTGAGTGCGCGCATTGGCTTGCATGGTACGCTAATGTCCAATCAGTCCTCTGACTCCGGGTCGATATTAGCGTTTCTGCTATGTATGTCTACCTCCAGCAGCCTAAGCCTCATGTTTAGTGGGCGTCTCGTCATGTCGAAGGCTGTACGGCTATGCACATCCAAACATTCCACTCCGCCCCTAAGACAATTTTTCGCGTCTACCTTGGGCTTCTTCCATCTTTCCGACCTACTAGGATACATTGTTACCACAGCAAAGATTAGGGCATTGGGGGTTGGGGTTAATTTACTAAGGGTAGGTACGGGCATATGGCAAATGATTACACTAGCCTTGGAATTCACCAATCATAATCGCGCACATTTATCCTTAAGGCTGGCGTATTACCCACCACATTGCGGCCCGTGCCTTGCGGATGCCATCCAGGGCTATGTTAGCCGCCTGCTAGATCCACTTGAAGCGGGCGGTTTGGGTGAGCGCATTTTCTGGGCGATGACTTTTGACACTTCAGTCGTCGCACTTAGTATCTGTAAGCGCCCGAGGGGAAGCGTGCTTGCGCTCTTCGGTGTAATCGTTATTTGCCAAGCGGCAATATGCTATTATCTATTGGTAATTCACCACTTTGCACACATGGAGAGGATTTCATGGTTGGTTTTTGTCGTCATGGGTCTATTTTTTATAATTTTAGTAACTTTTCAGGGATCGTGTTTCACTTTCGTCTTCTATCATTGGATGAAATACAAGGCAGACCAGCTAGCGAGTATGACGTGGCATTTCAGCCTCATCCAAGGGTAAAAATATTTACAACCTTTTTGTCCGCATTTTGAACTCTCTCAAGTCGCAAGCATTTTCACTGTCGAAGTATTCTATTCATACTCCAAAAATGGCAGAAGCTGTTGGATTCGTGTCTGCCGGTGTTGGTATTGCTTCGTTTGCTGTTCAAGTTTCGAGCAGTATTGGTGCTTGGAAAGCCACTTATCAGTACAACCGGGAAAAAGCACCACAGGAGGTTGAGGATCTCACCAGCCATCTTGAATTCGTGAGGCTCTTTTTGGACCATATCCAGCCTTATGGGGGGAACCCACTTGTTGGCCATGCCATTCGAAGCTGTCGGTCGGTGTATAACGACGTAGAAAAAACTATCCAACTGCTTCTCGAGAAGATAAACCCGGTTACAGTTACCCGGAAATCAGACTGGAAGGCAGTCAAGTTTCTTCTGTCTGGACAAGTTCGCAAACAGATTGAAGATATTGAAATGAAGCTTCTACGGGTCACGCTGCTGCTGAATGTGTATGTCAGTCCTGTGAAAGAGCGTAGAATGTTGCAGCTAAACTCTGTGTCCAGCTCAAGGTGTGCTCTATTACCAATTCCACCTGAAACCCCTCAGTCAAACAATATCAATCCACAAACTTTACCCAATGTTCTATCAAACCCCTTGGAAGTGCCCCCTAGTACCGAGAATGTCACTTCTCAGGAGATCAGCGCAGCTCTCTCACGACCGCGAGATCGCCGGGTCATGCAAAAGACATCTTGTGCCGTTCGACTCTGCCATTGCTCCTGCCACATGACGGAAAACAGCCGAGGTCGTTACTGGGGCTTAGAATACACCCCGCTTTCGCTAATTCTTGGACATTGCGACTACGACAAATGCGACATGAAGAGGGTTCAATGCAGATTTCGACTTGCTTTCAATCGGATTCGTGTTCCGTGGGCGCTTCTCATGGACTTTGAATCTATGCTTGGCTCTGGAAAATGTTCGATACGGCCAGCTCTCAGCCTGAAAAGAGTGGTGAACTATACTTCGCCAGGATTTGAAATTATGTGGAGGTGTGAGAATCACCTTATGCCACTTGCGGATACTCTCAGCCAACTCCGGGATCTGGACAAATTGCCGTCCCCTCTCCAACAACATGTTAATCCAGACGGAGAAAACTATGTCCAGGTGAGTATTTCTATGCAGTTAAGAATTCGGATTTTGGCTAAAGTACCCAAGGCCCTTCTTTGTCATGGCCCTTGGTCTGATCAGACTAGGCAATTTGAATTACTTGCCTTTTTTGTTGAAGAATCAGGTATAGAAATCGAAAATGAAGATAGCAAGTTCGTTTCCCTACCAAATATTGGCCGAATATTGGCCCATGGCTATTCTGACCCAGCTTACGTCATAGGTTTCTCACACGATGCGTCTCATGGATCGGGGAAGGCCGCCATCTTGATTTGCTTGATACGATGCTTCAATTAGGATTCGACCCCAGCGGAATGAATTCGCCGCTCTTCCAGCAATGGCCTTGGCCGTGCTCGCCCAATTGGAGATCGGAAGAACTCACGCCTGACCCGTTTTTTCATGAATACCTTGCGGCTCTAGTTAAGAAAAACCCAGGTGATAATGACTTTGCGTATCTTCCACCGCATCTACTAAGATTTCAGTTTCTTTTAGGATTTGGAGGATCTACGCCACTTCAAGATGCTGTTTTGTGCGGAGAAACGGCAATTGTTCAACGCCTACTTCCAATGGCGACTGACTCGGATAGTCATCGAAATTTCCTGGGCCAGACACCATTGCATCTGGCTGTCTGTAACCTAGAAATATCCACACTTCTTCTGGATGCTGGGCACGATATAAATACCACGGATAGGTGGGGAATCACTCCACTGATGTATGCTGCCGCACTAGGAGTGAGCGAGGTTGTGCAATTACTCATCATCAGAGGGGCAAATATTATGACACGTGCTACTAATTGGAATCGGGATTTCATGCACTACGCATCTGTGCGTGGCCACTGGGACCTGATACTCGAATCGCTCTACACTATTCGGCACAAATCGATCTGCACTATTCCGTTACGCTATCGCGAGGAAATCCACCAAATTTTGTTAAGAAAGCTATCCTACATTTGGTGGCTAAAGATACTTGGCTTGGTGACTCAAAGATTAAGTATTACGAGAGCCTCCTTGAGGCTTGCGAGGATGTGAATTTCACATTTGATGATTTGAATAAAGGTAAAAATAATCAAAACTTACTGCATTATGTTAGGAATGACAGAGAGTTCCAAGCTCTTCTTCGTCGCGGTTTCCATGGCTTCAACACGGCCAATAGCGACGGCGAGCTTCCAGTATTTTCTATTGTGAATCGTGTTTCGGACTTCAACTTGATTCGGGCCTGTTTCGATAAGGGGACTGATATAAATCGCATCGACCAAAGTGACCGCACCTTTATCTTCAAGCTTCTATCGCGCCTCTCCATGCTTGAATTTACGACATGGGATACTATAGATTCAATCAAGCTCTGCCTTCACCGGGGACTTGATATATTCTATGCCGATAGTTGCAGGTGCCCCTGTTCCATCAACGGTTGCCATACTTCTGCCGCATTTAATGTCAACTTCAGATCGGGATTTTTCCGAGAGCAGCCAGATTTTGTCTGGGCTTTTGAGTGGCTTTCGATCATCGAAGAAATCTACGGCTACGAGGCATCCAAAAGAATGCTACTCTCGTTTATCCGCACAGTGCGCTTTGATATGCTCAACATGACACATTTTTGTTGCCATAGAGGCAAAGGGTTGGGACAGACATGGAATTTTGACCCTCACCCTGACTTCATTGATATCGGAAAAATATTGAAGGAGGAGCAGAGTATGATCGAGGCATTGGAGGCAGAGATGCAAAGACATACCTCAGAAAGCTTAGACACACTCAAATTCATTTGGATGGGAATGATGAAGAAAGTATATGACGGGGTTTCTGGAGGTTCTCAAGCGCAAATGAAAGAAACCAATAGTTTCCCTGTGAGTCACCGAGACGCTGAGAGGACTTGAATTTTTCTTGTGCGACAGCTAATCCGGAAATAGTCACAATATCTTGATTACAAAAAGGATACGTTTAATTTGTCCGTGGTGATTGACCCTGATGACATCTTTCGATACGATCTGGCACAAAAACTGTCAGAATATGCGTTCTGGCTTCAGCACGAATATTCGCGAACGCTCGATCACCCGCAGGGCAGTCTCTTCAAGGAGGGATGGCATGCCAAACGAATGAGTTGGCTCACTAAACTTGTGAATACAATGGGTATTTCGGTTCAAAAGATAAAACAAGTAATGGAAGGGATACATCTTGAAGAAACGAGCTCGGAAAAGATTGATGCCAAGGCTATCGTTGACCAATTTTGGACCTCTTTGAGAGCGAGCTCTTGGAATTACGCCTAACTCAAAAAATATCCCCATATTAAAATTTACAGACATTTTGACTTCTCCATCTAATCTGTCAAGGAAGAACGCTCTGGGCTTGGGGTTGAATGTCCTTGGGAACCTGGGTCATACTGAAGTACGAGTTTGCTCACGCCTTGATCTGCCCACTATAGATTATTACAGATGCCGAGATGGAGAAGATTGCCTCAATCGTTAAATCTAATGTTTTGGAGACGAGCCAACTATTTGCTCAAGGGTGAAATCTAGTTGAATCCTCCAATAGAAAGACCAATTGAACACAATATCTTCATATCCCAATTAAAGCCACAATCGGGCAAGGGTTTGAATATATCAGGAGTTCCTCCAGTTATACAGCATTATCTCATTGTATGAATGACCTAGGTAGTCGCCATGGTATGCGTGTGACAAAAATGTGCATCCCCGATACACATATGGTAATCTAACCCGACAATGTATTAACACTATAATCCCTCACTCTCCTTCCGTAGCTCTCTCCTTCCGTAGCTCTCCTTCTGCAGCCCCCATTGCCTACTGCCTGAATCAAACATCATACCCCCGGCACATGATGATCGTATTGCCTCACCGTAGTGAAAAAAACTTAGACATAAGTCACTGTGACGGTGTTGGAGGTGACAGAGGCAGAGGTAAGAACTTGGTTGTTCTGCTTGATGTCGATAAGAGTAGCCCCAGAAGGCCCAACCGTGGAGCCACTAGCGGTTGCCTCGGCCCCAGTAAAGGTAACGGTGCCAAAGTTGGCAAAGCTCACAAGAGAACCGCCAGACTCAAAGTCCTCAACAATCCACTCAGCATTGACCTCACCAAGGCTACCCTCAGTGCTGCTGGAAGAGAAGGTGTGGGAGACACTCTTGCCAGTGGTAACATTTTCGATAACAGCGGTACCGGACGCCTTGGAAGCGGCAGTCACGGTGACCTTGATCACATCTCCAGCGGAAATGGTGATACCGGTGAAATCATAGGCGTAGTCAGGGTACCATTCATACCAGGCATCGTAGCTGACCTTTCCCTTGGAGATGGTGAAGTCAATACCAGTCTGCAGGATGGCGTCGCTCCAAGTATCACCGTCGATTCCGACCCAAGCAGAAGCAGAGTAACTTCCGCTGCTGCTACTGCCGGTGGGCACCTTGGGAGTTGGAACGGTGAATTGGCCGGTGACCGAAGTGTAGCCTGAGCCTATCAGAACGGCGCCAGCCCAGTTGGAGCTATACTCCACGTGGGCGCTCTCATTGAGATGCAGAATCTCGTGGGTGTCGGGCTTATAGGGAGGGTTGCTATGACGCTCCGTCACACTGGACTCTGCGCGAGCCAAACGCCGGGCTTCATAGCGGGCTTGACGCTTAGCAGTCAGAGGTGCAGCAAAAGCAGCAGTCGCAAGGAGCGTGGTGCTAAGAATTGCCGAAGAGAACTTCATGATGAAGATTGAATTGGGTTGCTAGAGGAAAGCAGGTTGTTTAGATGATGGTAATAAGCGAAGTTAATGTTCTTGGCTGATGAAAAAGAAGAAGTCAACAGGCAGAGAAAGCAGCTTTTATACCCATCCTCACGTACTTTTCCCGAAGCACATACGACCTTGAAATCCCAGATGAGATCAATTCCTCAGAATTCTGCTTCATTGTGAGCTATTGTCGATGCAACATCAATATCAGCGCAAGCATGCCATACGTTAATCATGATAGAAGAAGTACACTAGAATGGCGAATGCGTGACACCGTCGGAGACCGACATAGACAGTCACCAGTCTAGATCGCGCGATGCACTAGTAAGATTTCTTCATACTGGAATTGATGAACGACTTGGTCTCACTCACGGGTAGTAGAATATGCCAAGATTACGGCGCTATCTTATTTCATCCATCATATTGAAATAGTAATCTGATTACATGGGTTGAAAGAGCGATAAAAAGAGCCGAGACCCTTGAGCGGGAGGTTTATCGAGCGGAACACGCATAGGCTCTGCAAGTAGACAAGATTGAAATGATGGGGTTGGTTTAAGAGGATAAATTTACAGGTGTAGAAAAAATTGTGGACCAAGCGATAGCAAATTGGCTAAGTCAGTCAACAGACAGGTCGAGTAGACTTGATGGAGAAGCAGAACAGAAATGGGTACCTTGCAAGAAGCCTGAATATTCACGTCATTGCCTGACTCTAGAGGTATCTTCGCCACGGAAGTGCTTGTGTCCAATTCTCGTTTTCGTTAGCCTGGCCCTGTATGCATGTCACTGACAGCCATATTGTACTATTATCCAATCCAAACAGAGGGTAATAGTCCTGCAGAAAGGCGCAATCCGGATGTCTGACTTCTCCACACGTTAAAAGCGAGGAAGATCTAGATGTAGGGCGTTGGGAAGTCTCCGAATGGCGATATGCACGCTAAAGATGGTTATATTAATGAGCTAGTGCAAACAGGCAGCGACCGGCCGTTTAAAACAGAAATTGGAATGATCACCGGAAGACAACTCCCATGCAATGTTACTGTGGCGCACAGGCTAACAGGGTGAACATAAGCTTCCGATTGCAGGTTCAACCAAGCTTTTGACGTGCAAATGTGCCGGGCGGGGTCAAGCCATTTCCTACAACTGTGAGAATAGCTTTGCGAAAGTGAAATGACATGGAAGGATTTTCATTCGATTTGAATATGAAAGAGAGAAATAACAGGCCGATGATTTGGTCTTCAAGAGTGTTAGGATCTACTTCGAACTACGTCTGGTAAAATTTGGAGATGAAATAGAGTGAAGGAAACCAATGACTTGATTATATGCATACAAGACCAATCGCTTAAGGTTCTAACGTCATTCCCTTACACCGGGTCATCCCGTACACCCCATCAAAATCGCGCCTTCCTACCTACCTGTTTCAATCAACTACTATGCCACCATTTAACCTGAAATGACGGCAAAAAGCGGCCACTCGAGACGAAAAGGTCTTATCAAATTTATCCCTGTAGCAGCTAAGCTATACGGTATTCCGTATACAACCTTAGCCGATTGCGCGACAGGTGATACCGCTTGGATTTCCTTCCGGGTTCCAGAGCGCACCCCGTGGTCAGTATGGCCCACTTAAAGCCAGCGCCCAGTGGAGACGACCCCTGGCACCGACAGGTTGACGAAGGCCAACACCACCCCATAACCGATGATAGGTTCCCGGACGATGAGGTATACGAAGTCGAACGCATCCTCGCCAAGAAAGTTACCAACGCACCCGGCCGCCCCCGTCGCGACGGCACCCGCACCCTGATCACTAAATATCTGATCCACTGGAAAGACCGATCAGCACGCTAGGACTCCTAGGTACGAGAAAAAGATTGCATCGGCTGTGATGAGGCAATCCTCGAATTCGAATAGTCCCTTCACTAACCGTAAGAAAACCACGACGCTCACCCAGCGTCCAGTGACGCCTAACCAGTCACATATCTTTTTCCAGTATTATAACTCTAACTAATCTTTCTTCGTTCAGAAGATAGTTTTAACCTTATTCTGAACCGACTAGAGACTTAAATATATTCCTTCCCTCGCCAATATAGCTACTCCCGAACCATTTATCCTGATTTCTGCACTTTCACACTGTTCCCTCACTCACATCTCACTCCACGCTACATTTATTCTCCCTTCATCAACCTACATTAGTCTTACCTTTCCATCCATCGTCAGGTTTCCTTGATCTCTTCACAAGCTCCCAAAATCTCCTCCTTCAACCCACTAATGGCAAAAATAGCAAATATGGAGGCCAATTCACGCTTAACATGTTGCAACGCGTGGACAGCCAAGGTTCCTACACCAGATACATCCAGCTCAGGCCCAGCTGGACCCTGACATTCCTCTCGTATCTATCGAGACTATCAACCCAAACCAAGCTTAGCTACCCATCCAATCAGAGGATCCAATCCCCTTGCAAGTTCAACCAAGGGTTTCAAGGAGGTCGATTGAAAGTTTAGTAGAACTATCAATAGCTAACTCTACGAAAGCGGGACTATCTCCAACATCAACCGTCGACCCTTTGGCGCAATATTGAAACGGTCCTCCATGTCCATCTCTCCGCTCTTTACCTCTTTGCCCAGCAACAATTTAAACGGTGCCCGCATGACCGAGTCCACGGCAAGATAGAGCTCATCCCATGCTAGATTTTGCCCAATGCAGTTACGCCTTCCCATACTAAATGGAGTGAGAGAAAGTTCCATCTCTTTTGTACTCTCAAGCCATCGCTCCGGTCTGAACGTGTTCGGTTCTGGAAAGACACTGGGGTCACGATGATGAACATAGTTTTGCATTCCAACCACGGTGCCCGTGGGAAGCGTAAAGTTCTCCATCTGGAATGCCTCAGTCACGATGCGCGGTAATGTGGAGATAATGGTAGGAAAGAGACGGAATGTCTCTTTGATCACGGCATTGATGTAATCGTTGTTCCGAAGAGCGAGGATATCATCATCAGGGAGACTCAGCACCTCTTCGCGAAGCTTGGTTTGAATTGCCGAATTTTCAGGGAGCGAGATAGCATAGAAGAGGTAGGTCAATGTTGTAGAGGTGGTACCACTCCCAGCAAACATGATTCCCATTGCCTCCTCGACGAGTTCATCCTTTGTTAACCTTCGACCCAGGAATGAATCCACACTTCAACAACGGCGCTAGGAGATTTTTTTCCATGAATTCTGTACCATTTCCCGTAACCCTTATAAGATGGGTCACCATCTCATGCGCCCGGGTTTCCCAGTACTGCGTCTGGCGAAAGGCATGTCCCACAGGACCAGGAAGTTTGAGTCCAAGCCCGGCCGAGCGCAGCCACGGCATTATAGACGTTAGCGGAAGTGTCTTTGCACTGTCACTCATGGCCTTCATAAGAAGCTTCAGTCGGCCGGCGTTCTCAGCTGACATCTCCATAGCAAATGCAGCTTCACAAATAACCCCAAGACTATACAGGCCACATAGTTCGAAAACATCCACCGTTCTGGTAGGCGAGTTTTGTGCACCGAGTCTCATTTTCGCAGCCAAAACTTGAGCTTTTCTGCGTACCAATGGATTGAGAGAAGTGACCGATTGCAGGGAATAAGGTATAGCGCTAAGCCGCCTTCTAGCTGAATGCTGAGTCGGATTCCTGTCGAAGTGGGGTTACTGGTTAAGATAGGCTGAAAAGGTTGCGTGGAGGGAAGACACCAAGCTCACGTCATCTGAAAGATATTATCTTTTCCAATAAAAGTGGCCGCAGCATAAAAGTGAGAGTCTTTCACGATTGATTTCGAATCGGTGTAAATAGGGCGATAGTACCGGTAGTCTCCAATAGATACTTCATTGGGTCCGATACGTACGACCGAACCGTACTGCTGATGAAGTTTATATATTTCCTGTGAACAATTTCATACTCAGTAACAGTAGGAAGGTGGAGGAAGGATATATGTCGGGCGGGATTGATTACCTGGGCACGTTGTCCTTTGATCGTTGCAGCGGAAATTGGAATCGATGTTATGCGCGCCCAAAACGGCCCTGGGATGCGCCGTAAGGGACTCGCCAAAATTGTATATAGTACCTTTGAGATGAATTATTAGCCAACTTCATTTATTATCACCATTTGCTAGCCGAGGCTGAGGGTACATTTCCAACAGTAAAGATACTATAAAGGATGACGAGATACACCAGGCCTTCCTGCAGAATCTGCGGTCTGACTGATTCAAGTAAAGACACCAGCGCCATTTGGGACGACTCAACTTGCTGCACAAGGAGATTGCGATGAGAGCATTGTGGTAGGAAGGTCGACTTTACAAATAGTGTCTCTCAGCTATTATAGTCGACAATGCGATGTGGGGCCGAGATTGTGGACTACCGGGATAAACTGGGCACAGTGATAGCCTCATTTCTCCGTCAAATCGTTATGCGGGGTAGTTAAAGCCAATCCCGCTGACAAACGAATCCAAATGCCCTCATAGCAATCCAGAATAGGCTTGGGCTGGGTACCGCGGATATGTTGTTCCCCGCACCTTGGCTATTGAGATATCGGCCCCATAATGGAAAATTTCGCAACGTGATTGACGAGCACGACAAAGACTGCATTGAGGGCATAGTCGGCGATTAACTGGCCGATAATAGTGTAAAGACACTTGTACATCACCGATGACTTCGTCGGGTACGTCCGCTACCAAATACCGAACTTGTTTGGAAGCGGGAGCTGATCCGGAGAGCCCCAGGCGGGAGCTAAATTTCTTTTTCTTTTTTTTCTCTTCCAGGTGGCTCAAGGTGCTCTTCAGCAGCGGGTAGCCTAATGGTCGTGAACGTCCGATAAAAAGAGTTATTCAAAGAGGAAGGCGTTTCTCTACATCAGGAAGAAGATTCTTGATAAAATAACCAATCCATAAAAGGCTATTATATTTTCAAAAGGAAGTTGCATAAAAATGGTGTGAATTTGATAGTGCATCTCTTAGTTTCTCTACTACTACTTCTGGGCACCACCCAGCTTAAAGGACGTGGAAGTTAGGTGGAGAAGGATTTCTGCGCACTCTGCAACTGCTGTAACCCGAGTACTCGCGGGGCTATATTTCCCAATAATGCCATCGAGAGGCAACTATTACTTTGTCATTATTAGATTTCAAAGATTACAAGCGGAGTGTTACGGTCTGCTTATTGAGGGGAGAATGGGAACTTGAAATGATTTTTAAAGATCTGTTAACATATGGAACGGTGATTTACTACTTGGACAAGGCTTATACCGAACAATTTACTTACCTTTCTTTTTTGTCTGGTGAGTTGGTGTCATTGACATTACAGTTAGTTTACTATGTATCTAGCAATCACAGATCGCAGTGTTCAATGCGAGAGGAGTCATTTAATTGGTGTTGGTGTATCTCTATCAAGTACTATTACATCACATGAAAACCCGGTGTCTTCCTCCTCTAAATGAATAAATCATCGCTCTAAGAAGCGGGAACGGAAATATTGTCCTCCTTAATCGTCTTCCACTCCATGGTCAAAGCAGGCAGGACCATCAAGCAAGACACCGCCACACTAACAATGAACGACCGGTGAAGACCATCGTTGTAAACGAGCAGAACATCGGTAAGCTTGTTAGTCGGCACAACATCGGCGAGACCCGTCGTTCCTGCAGCAAGAACCTTGGCCGCATCGATTCCGTCAATATGAGGTAGTTCGGATCCAATGTAGTTCTGGAAGAGGGACTGGGCCACGGCAATGAAGACAGCACCACCAAGAGACTGAGCGAAGAACATGAGCGAAACGCCAATGGCAACTTCCTCCATGGGGAGGACGGTCTGCGCTGCCAGCGAGGGCTGTTGCAAACCGGTGCCAATGCCGATACCGAACAAGACTTGGTATCCAATCCAGGCAGCGTGGTTGGTGTCCGGCTTGAAGGTGGTCATAAGCCCAGCACCAGTTGACATCAAGATCGTTGCAACAAACATCCATGGAACGTAGTACCCAGTCGCGGTGATAATTCCGCCAGAGAGAATGGCACCGACGACGAGCGCGAGGACCATAGGGATTGTGTCAATGCCTGATTTCACAGCCGTCGTACCGCGCACACCCTGGAACCAGAGAGGGAGAGTGTAGAGCATTGAAATGAGTCCACCACCCACGCATAGGGCGAAGACGACACCACTGATGATGCTGCGCTGGTTGAAGATATGCGGAGGCACGGTAGCATCCTTCTTCAGCCAAATTTGCACAATGACAAAGGCGATCATCAAGACACCCGAGAGTACGAATAGCGCAATAATGCGACCGCTGTTCCAGGCGTAGGTAGTGCCACCCCATTGCAGAGCAAGCAAGAAGCAAATGACGGAGGGCAGGAATAAGAAGCTTCCCAAGGGGTCGAGGCGGAGGATCTGTCGCTTCCAGCTGCAGGGCTGAGGCGTGTGAGGCACGCGCAGGAAGAAGAACAGCATCGCCAAGGTGAATCCGCCAATAGGGAGGTTGATGTAAAAGCACCAGCGCCATGTTACGTTGTCCGTGAACGCGCCACCCATCAATGGGCCGACAATAGAGGAGAATCCGAAAGTAGACCCCATGAGACCAACGTAGATGGGCCGCTTAGCCAGAGGAACGATCTGTGCAATAATGACGGTCGCACCAGAGAAGATTCCTGCTGAGCCAATACCCGCAATTGCTCGTCCGACGATGAAGGCCTTGGAGTTGGGTGCGCCACCGCATAGAGCGGATCCGACTTCGAAGACTAGGATTGCGAGGAGGAAGATGGTCTTGGTGGAGTAGAATGTGTAGACTTTGCCCCAGGCCAGTTGGGTCGCACAGCTCGTCAAGAGATATGCACTCGCATACCAACTGATATCTTCGAGAGCATTGAATTGGTTCGCGATGCGAGGGACTGCCGTAGCAATGATCGTCCGGTCCTATAGTCCAACCAAAGCAATTAGTTTTTATCCACGCGAGCGACCGATATCAAAATGAGAATTTCATACCAGTGCGACCAGGAACATAGCGAACAAAATCGAAATCACAATCACCACCAATTTGGCTCCAGTTGGAAATTGGCTGTCATCTTCTTGGACCTCCGTGGGTTTCTCGGAGGTGTCCAAAGAGGACTGAAGAGGTTGCTCGTGAAGGGAGTGTTCTTCTTGTGTAGAATGCGCCATGTTGAACAAGTCTTTTGGATTGAAAAATGGAAGACTTGGTTGAATGAGCTTGATATGGATACGTACCCTGCGACAGGGGCAGACTTATAAACAGTCTTGGGAGCGACAAACAGGAGACTGGGCGGCCAACTAGAAAGTCTCGGCCCCGAGAATCCAGGTATTTCGGACGGACAGACGGGAAACGGGGCCGAGAGACGGACCTTGCCATCGGCGGCCATAGATACTTCGACTTCTAGTTTTTGGAAGGTGTTCTTAGATACCATTGTCTTAAATTCTTTAATGATTCTCCAGGGCAGTTTGCAATGCATCTTCAGATGAATAGTCTTCAACACATGTCGAGGCATGAAAAAAGTGGTTTAAACTCTGTGTACCTGGCGCCGGTAATTACCGTAAATCTTTGTATAAATTACATCCACTTTCGACCACCATGCAGCGGAACTCCGTCGCATCGGACAAGCACAAAAACCCCGTCCATGAATGCCGATATGAGCTATATTACAATATTATGGACCTCCCACGCACTACCTTAGTGCCTAATCTGGTTACGATAGGCAATTTTGGGGCGCGATGCTCTCGTCCACCTCTCGAGTCACACGAGGCCACTCGTGCGTTTTCTGTCAACAGCGCAAAGTACGCTGCGATGGCCAGCGACCTTGTTCAACGTGTCTACGTAACGGACAAGAATGCGTTCGGCGCGTTGGATCAAAATCGCATCCACCACAGACTGTTCGAGCGCAGAGCAGAGATGCTGGTGTAAATAGCGTCACGGAACAATTAGCGAGACGACTTGAACTTTGTGAACGGGCTGTCAAGGCTCATGGGATTTCTCTGGAGCCTGAGGCTGATGTGGATAGAAAGCCTGTTCGAATTATGGCGAGTCCGTCGTGGCCGGTTCTAGAGGGACAGCTGATTAAAGAGACGGCCCATGCTCGATATGTGGAAAAGTATGGTGATGCTCCGATCTCCCTTTTTGGTCATCTAGAGAGACATCGGCTGATCCTTGGCTTCCTCTTCATGACAGCCCCCTCTGGCAAGGCCTGACCAATGAATTGGACAGCTGTAGCAGTGTCGCAGAGGATACTGAGACCGAGTCGCTCCAAGATGCGGATGCAGGGACGCTGCTGTTCCAACCGCCCTGTCCCAAGGGAGTACGCTCCCTTCATCCAAATACACCACAGAATTTTCAGTTGTGGCAGATATTCCTCAATAATGTCAATCCCATTGTGAAACTCTTGCATGCTCCGTCTACACAGCAACTGATACTAGAAGCTGCATCGGATCTGGACAATATATCCCGACCGACTGAGGCTTTACTGCTTAGCATTTACTTGTGTGCCGTGGCTTCCATGGACGATGAGACTAGTCGTCAAGTACTCGGTGCATCGAGATCAGACTTGATGGCGCGATTTTCGCGCGCGGCTGAGCAAGCACTCATTAATGCCGAGTTTCTAAGATCTACCAATGTTTTGATCTTGCGGGCACTTACACTTTACCTGGTAAGTCTAACACATATTTGACACTGTGTCTAGCTTTCAGAGATTGAATCTAGTCTTTCAATTCTAGCTGGCCACACGACAGCGCTACGATGTACAAACACGATGGCTCCTCACTGGGATTGCCAGTCGTATCGCCCGAACAATGGGCCTGCACCGCGAGCGCAGTCTCGGCTCTTTGCCCGCCTTCGAGCGAGAAATGCGTCGTCGCCTGTGGTGGCAGATCGTCTTTATGGACAGTCGCGCCGCCCAATTATGTGGAATCGTCGTCGATGCCCACTCCTACCACTTCTGGGATACCGAGCGTCCCCGCAATCTCAGCGACAGCGACTTATCGCCGCTAATGCAGGAACTCCCGCGCGATCGCCCGGGTGCTACGGAGATGTTATTCTGCGAGATCCGATTCGAGATTGGAGATTGCATGCGCAAGTTAACCGCGATGGAACATGGGCTTGTGGGAGGTAGCATTCCCGAGCGGATGGTTGAAGAAGAAAGGGCTATTAATGCGCTAGAGGGCCGACTGGAGCAGGGATACCTTGATGACTGCGACGCGTCGATTCCGTTCCACCAATTGGCATTGTATTTGGCCCGGTCGTCCATCTGTCAGATGCGCCTTGCGACCCGACATCCCCGTCGATGTGGAGATTTGTCGCGAGATGACAGGGATCGATTGTTTTCGCTGGGGTTGCAGGTACTCACGTACGATAATTTGACCTACGCGAGTCGTGACCTGCAGCCGTTCCTGTGGCATGTGGGGATGAGTTTCCCCTTTGAAGCGTTTATTTTTGTCCTGACTGAACTGTTATCTCGACGTGAGGGTGACCATGTGGATCAAGCGTGGGCCAAGGTTGATCAGGTCTATCATGACCACGGGGATCTGGTTACGGCGTCCAAGACGAATCCACTTTTCTTTGCGCTCGGCACACTGACGCTTCGGGCGTGGGAGATGCGAACTGCGTGGACGAGACAAGGTCCGATTTTGTCTCAGCCTCTGGAGCCCCAGTCCGTTACGCGGCTTCGTGCTCTCCGAGGGAGTTCCCGGGCCCCGTCGCCTGCATCGGCCCCCGGCACTGGCATTGCCCCGCTGATGTTGGGCCCGGGACCGGGGCTCGAGGATAGGAGCCGGGAGACGGACGGATTGTTGATGCCTGGGCGGATGAGTTTGGAGCCCGGCATGGATATTTCGCAGATTGATTGGGAGACTTGGCAGAGTTTGATCGACGGGCACATGACTTGTTTTTAGGATCATGTTAGAACGCACTACTGTATGCACTATGAGCTATGAATTCAACAATACATGCATTTTTTTACCGTCCAGAAGCTTATGCTAGTCTCGGGCATGGCCAGTCAATCCTAGAGTGTGGCCTGATTCAATCCCCGATCCCGATGTGACGCCCGCAGGAGAGCGTGCATGCTTTCCCTCTATATACCTCCACGATATCCCCCGTCAACAAAGATCTGCAAAGCTCGTCTACGAACATTCATTAGTTCCATTACAACTAAGTTATTCATATACAAATTGCAATCTTTGTCAAAATGACCGTCACCACAACTCTCTCCCTCATCGCTCCTCCAGAGCACCGCCATGAGCCATCCCCCTTCGACCCGGCCGTCGACACCAAAGATGCACCCTCCATCATCACCGCTCTCCAGGCCGCCGATCCGAGTCTCAAAGTCTACACGCGATCTTCTCCCAACTTCGAGACCCTCCGCGGCATCTACAACAAACTAATTACCCATCAACCTCTGGCAATCTGCCGCCCCCAAACCATCGAACACATCCAACTCATCGTGCGCACTGCCCGTGCCGAGAACCCCCCCGTGCCCATCGTCCCACGGTGTGGAGGCCACGATGTCTACGGACGAGGCTTGAAGCCCGATAGCCTCAGCATTGACATGCGCGAGCTCGACACGCAAACTCTCGCCGAAGATCGCCAGTCCGTTCGCATCGGCGGCGGCGTGACGTCGCAGAATTTTGTCGGATTCCTCGACGAACACGGTCTCTGCACTGCGAATGGGACCGCGGGGAACGTGGGATGGACGGGATGGGCCGTGTGGGGCGGATACGGGCCCTTCAATGACTACGTTGGCCTGGGAGTCGACAATATCTTGTCTGCACGTCTGGTACTCGCGGATGGATCGCTGGTCGAGGCGGGTCCTGGGTCGGAGCTGTTGTGGGGAGTTCGAGGCGCCGGTGGCAGTCTCGGGGTCATCGTTGATGTGACCGTGAAAGTATACCCAATGCCCGTTATTCTGGCGGGTTTCATTGCGTACCAGTGGGGGGAGAGTGCGAAGGTGCTCTCGGGTCTGCAGGAGTTGCTGGATCGGGGAATTCCCGACACGATGTGTTTGCAGATGGGCTTCATGAAGACTAAGTGGGGGGTTGGCATGAGTTTGATCTTTGCCTGGCCCGATTCGGAGACTCTCGATGAGGGTCGCACTTGGCTGGAGACTGTTAGGGGCCTGGGCGCGATCCAGGTTGATACCGTCGGTGAAAGTAAGCTTCTCTCGCTCATTCGTGGATTCTTTTAATTTACTGGCTTGGCTATCGTTTTTTGGTCGCTATTGTCCTGCACTGCCTGAATTGTTCTCCAGCTGTCCTTTTTGGTTTTTCTTTTTTTCATTGCTTTTTGCTGACTCCTTTCACCCACGTTGTTTTGATCGACAGCCACGTTTAAGGCGTTTCAAGGGATTACCTCCCGTGTAGTGGACGAGCCAGTCAATGTCTGCACTCGCAGCGCCTCGGTCCCTCGGTTTACCCCCGAGACTATCGCGCTACTTCAAAAGTACTCCGAGGCCATCCCCGACGGTCGTCAATATAATGTGATCGCGCATATTGGACACGGAAAAAGTACACGACCGAACCCCGACACGTCGTTTGCCACGCGGGAACCCCACGTGCTGTTTCATATCAACGCGTGCGATGAGCCAGAGCGCATGGACGAGGCCCGGAGCTGGGTCGACGGGCTGATGAAGGAGATGAATGCTACCCGCCAAGCCATGAAGCCTGTATACGTGAGTTTTATGGGTGAAGACGAGGACCCTCGTGTGAGCTTCGGGTCGTATTGGGAGCGGTTGCAAGCTCTCAAGCAATCGGTGGACCCGGACAACGTTTTCCGCTTCCCCTAGACGAAGGGGCTAGTAGGTCATCGGCTAGTAAAGATTGGAGACTGAAGTGGAGACTATAGCGACGAGAGGCCTGGGCAAGAGGCTTAGGGGACTAAAATGATCTGAATAAGGTTCTTGGCTCGTGCTTACCGTGTTATCTTCTTCCTTACAATTACATTTAACTTTTTTGCTCCTTCTGCATGGCGTTTCGTCACCGTACATGTTTGCACCTGACTCGTATTATCGATAAGTGTGGTAATATGGGCGGTTACTTGGCGGGAAGAGATAGTCAGAAGTCCAAATCATCATCTCTAATTGGAAGGTCTGCAGCGCAAGTAGGGTTCGGCGCCGATCGTATAACCTGCAGGTAAGACCGGCTTGAGCGAAGTCTTCATTTAAGGCCTTGGCGCCTCCGAACCCACTGAGACGGGTCGGGTCGATCAGGTTGCAGTGGTAAGCGCAGGGCGTCTCGTATTGTTCAAAGCTACTCGTTCCGGCAAAGTATGAGATTATGAAGAAGATTAGAAGGATTTATTGTTTTTCGGATGGTATTAGCTATTCAGCCGAATTGAATATTTTTACAGACATATTCTACGAGGATTAGCTAAGTAACTACAGCCGAATTCCCTGAGTATTGAAAAGATTCGACGAATCATGAGTGGGGATTAAAGTCTGTAAGAATTGAATCATGTTGATTCCTACTACTTTCAGTAGCTCTTATCACCAGAATAGTAAAGGAGGACAACGAGGGGTAAAAAGGTGCGAGAAAGCGCCTTAGATCGAAGCAGGGTCCAAAACGGTTGGTCGTTAGGGTTACATTTGCCCCCTGCTTTGCCTTAAAAGGGTTTAGTAGGAGATTCCTCCGAGCTTACATGCATTGTTCTGCAAGCTGGTGGGCCTTTTTAGTCAACTTATTATGGACCCTATACTGATACTGCTGGCGTTTGCTTTTTCGCCCCCCTCTCGTCTTGTCTGAGCTGCCCGAGCTGATGCAAATGCCACATTAAGTGAACACTGCCCCGGAAACTTGTCGAAGGCCTGGAGGCCTCGAATGCTTTTCCATGGGCCTCTAGCAATCTGATCCCTGGCATTCTTATTCGGACTTACAATTACTTAGAGATCCGATCAAGATTTGTGTTTTCTTCTTTCACATGGATCAAGATGGCCTTCCCCGTACAACAACGAGTGGAGATCATTCGTGCTAGCTGTGATAATTGTGCCAAATCCAAGGTCCGCTGCAGCAAGGATCAACCGTCGTGTCAACGATGCCTGTATCAAGGCGTCCCCTGCATTTACAGTCCCTCTCAACGGTCCCGAAAGCGACCCCCGCCAACTCCTCCACCGGGAGCCGCTCCCCACTCTCAAGGGGTTGCATCGACGAGAGATCGGAACGATGGGTCGATCCTAGATGCTTGCCTGGGATCACAACGGAGAGAAGATGAAATGGATGGGGAGCAGATCATGGCCGACGTTCGCACCGTCGACATGACTAGCCCCGGTCCACTACCGGCTCAGATCGACACTCCTTTCTCCGAAAGGACTCAATTCCCGGCCGATGCATTGAGCCCAATCAAATGGAGTGAATTACTCGAGTCGTTCGACGGCAATACACCTTCTCCAAACGAGTTGCCAGGTATATCGGGTATACCACAGATGCCAATACCAAGTCCACAGTCGCGGATGGACACCGTCAATGACAATAGCACTCTTGACGAGTTTCCCTGGCTATTACCCTCCGATTCACATAAACAATCCCTCTGGACACTACCCGCACCTCATCATCAATCTGTACACCAATGTTCCCAACTAGCCATGTCGGCAATCTCACGACTTGACGCACCAATGACCCCATGTCCATCTCTCAACCGCTCAAACTGCCCCGATCCACGAATACAACTCACAATGGGCCCCGAAGCACGAAGTTTCGACGATATTCTCAAACATAGCCATTCTTCCCTGGAAGATGTCCTAGCAATCCTCGAATGCCCCTGCTCCATCAAAACAGATCTCATCTTCCTCGTCACGACCACGTGCACCCGCGTTCTATCCTGGTACCAAGCCAGTCTCGATCGCAGCGCCGGCTGTCTCCCCCGCGAACCAGACAGCAGCAGCGGATACAGCGAAACCAGTAATGGCAGCGGCAGCGGAAGCAGAAGTCGGAGCCGAAGTAGCCCGGGCGCACCATCGTCACTACGATCAACCCCCGAGAGTAATATCCTGCAGGGATTGTCCGAGTCGTTCCGTGAATGGGTGTCAATCCCATCAATCAACGTGGGTGCCTACACTTTGGAACCGGCCCAGTCACGGCGCATGATTGCGCAATTGATCTTGGCCGAAATTGATAAGGTCAAAGAGGTTCTGGCGGCGTTTAGTCGTAGGTATTGTCGTCAGAAGGGCATGTATGGCGATGATGATAATGAGAAGGGCTTGCATATGGCGCTGGAAGCGCATCTAAGGCATCAGATGAAATCTGTGGCTCTGACGGCTCGAGAGCTCTTGAGCTAACTTGCAGGTGTTTTTTTGCGCGCAGGTGATTGTTTCGTTTTCCCTTCTTCCTGTTATTTTTCTTTTCCTTTTCCCTTATCTCCTTTATTCTGCGTACATATGCATCGGGACCTTTGCCAATTGATAACGACCATGGCTGATTACTTACTGCGTGTTTGCGTTCTTCCGCTATCAATGTTTCTCATTGGCCTGACAGCTGCACAGATCGGATGATAGAAAGATGAACACGATTTTAGAACGAGCTACGATGAACAACGGAATACAGATACAGTATATAGTCAATTCATGAATGGATCTATCTATCTATCTCCTCTTCTAGATCAAGTTTCAACTATTTTCTTCCCAAATGCATAGTAGCCCATCGATCATGAACTCCGTGGGCATTCAGGCATGCGGACTGCATTCTCGGTGGGTGTCGGGTCTCGGCGCCGAAAGACTAGGTTCGAGTGGCGATCGACCAACCGATCTGGAGTGTATTTTTGCTTTTCCCCGAGCTCGGTGCCGTCAGTCCCTTCGGTCCCGAAAAGACTCGTCGGGGCGTGGCTTACGCAGGGTCCTAAATCCTGGGTCTATTCAGACACTAATGCAGTGGTATGCATGCAGAGGACCCTAGTATCCACCTTGGGCTGAATTCAAACACTATTTCGGATTTTTAATATTCGATTATTTTCATGAAAAAGATCTAGCCTCGACGGGAAAGAGCTCAAATTTTGGATTTGATGGGTGGTATAGACGAGACTGGGCCCGCGCCCCCAGCTTAGTGAGAAGCGAACATGATTGCCGATACCCCGACAGATAGGTGGATACACATCACTGTATCCTGCAAGCTGCACATCGATATGCTGGGCCACGACCGCGGCATTCGGTGTACGTAGTCGGGTCTCGGTTTCTGCTCGGGTCAGCTGTAGAATCAAACCTTGAATTGCAGCCCTGTTAGAAAGCCCTCGGAGAAGCGATGACTAGGTAGATAGCCCTATATAGACCCACCGAGCCAATGACATAGTAACCAGACACTTGTCCATTTGATACATCCTCTTTTGCGGTAGATTCAGCCATACCATGTCCCATTCCGAAAAAGCCAGCCAGGCCCCTCGTGGACGAGGAGCCCTCCACGGTGACCGGAGCGACAAGGGCTCATCACCCCTTGGCACAGCCATCTTCGCAGCCCTACGCATTCTAGATCCGGTCTTGCAGTATGGGATCCTTTTGCCCGGCCCAGGTTCTCTAGCAGCTCCCATTCTTGGCGTATTCGGCGGTACTCCATTACCTCTCGAGTCCCCGCCCGTCGCGCTGGGCCTCTCATCATGGCGACTGACTCTGCTGGGTATGTCACTTCTCGGCAGTTTAAAGGGTATTTTCTACCTTTTCTACGTATCCGAAACCAAAATGCCCGTGAAAACGGCCCTATTGGTGGGCATTTTCAAGGCTTTCTCTACAACGGTCAATTCGCTCATGTTCTGTGCTGCGGCTACCTCGGCAACAAGCTCCTATATTCCTGATTCCGTCACTGGCTGGCATCCTATTCTTTCTATCGCTTGTGCAATTTTCACAGTTGGTATTACTGTGGAGACTGTTTCTGAGCTTCAGCGTAGATCTTTCAAGAAGGATCCTAGTGGACGTGGGGTCGGAAAGGTATACACAGGAGGATTGTTCCGAGTTGCGCGACATATCAACTATGGCGGATATACTATTTGGAAGGCTGCGGCTGGCCTTGCTGCATCAGGATGGGGCTGGGGTGGGCTGACTCTTGTTTGGCTGTTGGCTGAGTTCCGCAGAAGAGGTATTCCCGCCTTGGATACTTACTGCGAGAAGAGGGTATGTTTCTCTTCCCATGTTGAGAAGCTCTGATTTATGCGGTTGCTAATTTTGAACAGTATGGAGAAGAGTGGGACCAGTTCAAGCGAAGGACTCGGTGGAAAATGATTCCATTTTTGTATTAGAATTGATGAGGATGGAGATATGCACATGCTCTCTAGATAGACTAGTTGAGATGTGGCTGGTGGCTATTGTCGCCGTAAGCAGTCAATTTCAAATAGGATTATTCATAGAGAAACAAAATGGCGATATCGCTCTTCAGCAGCCAGGAATACGAAGTTAATTTACGCCGAGACTACAGTCAGCTCGTATAGGATCTACAACGAGAAACCAACTCAATCTTACTGTGTTAGGAAACCTTACTATACGACCAAAGTGTATTCGGTAAGTGCGTAAGATAAGCTGAGCCTATCAAGATGATCCCTCACTTTCTATCAATGGCTGCAATCGTTCCATCAGCTCCTCCGCCGTGATTCCTCCGCCGAGGTTCATCGAACGCTTCACAATAGACCACCAATTGAGTTTTTCCTTTCCCAATTGACCTTCACCCTCCACAAGTGGTGGCAGTAACACGGCGTCCAACTCATGAATCACCCCATCCATCACGACAATATCAGGTCGGCTCACTTTCCACTCGTCATTGACCAAGATTGTCCGCCGTCCACCCGACTGTAGAATAGAACTTGCGGAAACAAAATGCCCGCCGGCAAGAGTGGGCATTTCCACGGAATTGGTGGTAGATTCTCGAGAAAAGATAACCTGCTCGCCATTCTTTGCAGGAAAGTGGGCGTCCGAGAACAAAGTCTCATTGGCCACGATGTGGTAGGCAAGTAAAGCTTTCAAGTACTCGCTGCCTCCTGGGCCAAACAAGAAAGAATTGACTTTACGGCCCAGTTGATTGAATGCAGCATTGGAAGGGACGAAGAGGGTCTGTCCAATGTGTGTCGATGTGTCGTTGACCACCTCCGCAAGTCCAGTCTGAATCAGACCTTGACGGAATATTCTGAGAGACGGAGTATATCGAAGCACGTCTGCGGCTGAGTCTGGCAACATCAAAAGTCGGTCAACAACGTGCAGATGACCGTTGACAGCTGACTTTGATGAAAGCAATTTCGAGCGAAAGTTGAACGTCACGCTGTCTTGATGGCTGTCCTGTACGCTGATACGTTGCTGGTTCTTGAAAAAGATGTCGGCATTCACGAAAGAGGTGACCGTATTTTGATTGGGTAATGCCTGGGCTGAAACGCTTCCTTTGCCCATGTGGTAACCAACTAGAAATTTCCAGTAAAACCACGGGAGATCATAGGGAAAGTCTTCCTTGCCGAATGCCTCATTAACAGGCGCGTAGATTGTGAGTTGAGCTCGGGGGGCCCGTAGACCACCGACAATGTCCTGGAACTCTCCAACTAGCTTGGTGAATTTGGTCAAGGAAGGATCATTTTGAAGAGCATCCCACAGGGTCTGCGGCGGGGAAGATTCCGTTGTAGGTGGTTCACTTGGAGAAGGCTCATTGGTTTCGAGTCGAGACTCTATCACCACCGGTTGCGGCTTCTTCCATCCATCCAGGTATGTCTGGACAGCTAGAGAGACCGTCACCGCAACGAGCGCTACTCGAAGGGCCTGAAAAAGGGCTCTTTTTGCGAATGACTTCATGATAATCCCAATTTTGACTCAAACTACAACCTTTGGGTCTCAATTTCATATCATGGATCATATTTGGGTGAATTTCTGCAGTGGATGCTTCGATCGGGGCTTACTCGGGGTTGTATGCAAGGCTGATGCCGACCTCCAACCGACCTCGGGGTTCCGTTATGTGGCTAGTATCGCTTACCACTAACGGCTTTCACATATTGCCCACGAATCTATCTCTTCAAATAATGATTAAGTTTTTGTACAGTGAACATTGTCCCATGTGGCAAAAATGATTTCCGGTCGCGCCCTTTGTTGGGCATTATGCTCGCTACTGCTACCCAGATTTACTACCGGAAAGCTTATCCGTGAAGAGATCACGCTAACATGGGACTTGGGAGCACCTAACGGTCATGTGAGGGAAATGATTAAGATGAATGGCGATTTTCCCGGCCCATCGTTTGTATGGGATGAAGATGACGATATCGAGGTAATCTACAGCGCTACCCTTCAGTTTGGTCAGAATTGTAACTCACGAAATTCCAGGTCATCGTTCACAATAAAATGCCATTCAATTCAAGTATTCATTGGCATGGTTTAATGTAATACCCCGCAGTCAACCCTTTTTCAAAATTGCGTGTTTTGACATTTTCCCAGGATGCTAGGCACACCATGGTCTGATGGCGCGCCCGGAGCGACGCAGCTACCTATTGAGCCCGAGGAGATATTTATTTATCGGTTTAAGGCCAGTCCAAGCGGAACTCACTGGTAAGAGAGATATTAATGAATTAATGATGAACGACCCACTAACAAATTCAGGTATCATGCCCATTCACGGACGACTCTATTAGACGGTCTTTATGGAGGCATCTTCATCAGGTTTGAAACCTACCCGACAAACCATAAAGCATACTATTAGGCTAATATCGCACTAGACCAAAAGAAGATACTCCAGGGCCATGGGGCCTTATTTCCAAAGACAAATCAGACATCCAGGCAATGGAAAAAGCCTCCCGTGATCCAAAGCAGGTGCTCGTGTCTGACTGGACGGAATTCAAATCCTGGAATTATATGGAAGCTGAAGAAGCCTCGAAGTTCACAATTTTGTATGCTTTGTTTAATCAATTTTTTTTAGATATTGATTGCTAATAGAGGATGGTCCAGCTGCGTCGATAGCATCTTACTCAATGGCAAGGGCAGTATCTACTGTCCCGGTGAGGAATATTTGGTCAACCACACGAGCACATATATGAAATGGGCTCTATATCCGGGCCACGTCAATGACAAGGGGTAAGTATCTCACTAACCAAAATATTCGAATGAAATTACTAACACCATCAGATGTTTCCCTTTTATGAAGTCCACTGAGGGCCCGTATCTCAGCCAGGGAAGACCAGAAACTATCCCTTTGCACCTTCAAAAAGGTTGTGTTCCAGCCACGGGTGATCAGGAAGTGATTCACGTCGACCCCAAGTCTAGATGGGTCAGTCTTAATTTCATCGGTGCTGCCACTTTCAAAACGACCGTATTCTCAATCGACGAACATCCTATGTGGGTTTACGAGGTGGATGGGCACCGCGTCGAACCACAGAAGGTTGACACGGTCAAGATGTACGCTGGCGAGCGATATGCAGTTATGATCCGATTAGGCAAAGAGCCAAAAGACTACACGATACGTGTGGCGGACAGTGGTCTGACGCAGGTCATCTCGTCATTTGCCACGCTACGTTATGCTGGCAGTACGGGCGCTCCGTCGACCAGCAAAGGAGTTTTCAATTACGGAGGCCAGAATACAACTGCGATTGTGACGCTTGATCGCAATCATCTGCCGCCTTTCCCGCAACTGCGGCCGGCTGCAAGGTCGGATGAGCACTATGTCCTCCACACGCACCGGTGGCGCAGCGCATGGCAGTACACTCTCAGTGGGGGTGGTATGTGGCAGGAAGATCGCAGTGCATACACTCCACTGCTCTACGACATCAGCCAGCCAGACGCTCAAGATGAAAATCTCATCATTCGCACCCGCAACGGGTCTTGGGTCGATCTCATAATCCAGGTGGGATCACAACCAGGCCAGCCCCAGGAGTTCCCACATATGATGCATAAGCACACGGGCAAGATGTGGCAAGTTGGAGCAGGCGAGGGTATCTGGAACTACACGAGTGTGGACGAAGCGATAGCCGCCGAGCCGCATCGATTCAATCTTGAAAACCCTAACTATCGTGACACATTCATCACGTCTTTTGATGGACCTTCCTGGCTTGTGTTAAGGTACCATTCTATCAATCCCGGCCCGTGGCTTTTCCACTGCCATATCGAAACTCACCTGGCGGGAGGTATGGCCATCGCCCTGTTAGATGGAGTCGATGCGTGGCCCGAGATTCCTCCAGAATATGCTCCTAATCAAAAGGGCCTCGTGCCTGGGCAACCTGTCCCACGACCGGGAATATACCTACCGCTACCAGAGAAAAGGCCAGATCATGATCTTTCACTTGAAGATCTGGATATTGTGGAACAGACAGCTGAGATGGAAATGATTGAGTCGTATCGTTATTCGAAAGCTTGGAACTCGGTCCTGAAGAAGATGATTGGCTTCCTTGAGACAATTAAGTCAAGGCCTGGGTCATAATCTTTGTTTCATTTTAATTTTTCCATGGATGTCAAAAATAGCTCTCATAACAGATATGCGAAATACAAGTCTCGAGGCAAACCCGAAAGAACATCAAAAATATGTAGTGAAAATGGCTTAGAAAGTGTTTTTTCAATCCCGCAACAAACATCAACGCATATTGATCACTATACCTATCCTTGCAGATGTTAGAGAGAAAGTAGAGAAACGACGATTTTTTGGTGACTTCTAAGCCCAGGTCCTACTAATTACATAGAATATAGGGGTTTCCATAGGTTCGATACCGGATGAGATTTGAAAAGTAGGTGATACATCAAGAATAGAAGTAAATCAATACCCAATACACCATGGGCAACCTCAATTATTTGATATTCAAGGAGAAAGTACATGTGCAAAATGATGATATATGTTGATTGAAATATTTTTTCTAGATTCGGAGGGTTTGGATGCCACTGTCTGCCTTTATCGCATACTACCCCTTGAAGCCGTGCGAATCAGTTTTACCCGCTGTTGTTGTTATCGTCCGCCGATTGTTCTGCTCACTCATGACCTGAACATAGCCAAATGCACGTGTCTCGTGTAAGATTTGAGAGGCGCACAACATAATATTGCCCAAATTTCATAAATCTGGATTTAGATAACCGTCGCATTGAAAAAAGACTGTAATTGGTCGATACCATTACTGGCTATCCACCAAGACCAATCCCCACCCCGAGCCGCCTCCCGATCTGCAGCCCGAGCCCCGAAAACCGAACGGCCCACCCCAGTCAGCGAAGCATGTCAGGCCATCACTCCTCGGTGATGATCAAAACGATATTCTCAGTCTTACGGACTGAAGCTTTCGGATGTCAAACAAAAGTAATGTGCCGGTAGTTTTGGAGGTCTTTTATCATCTCTTAGTTTGGTCTTCTCCCATGGGAACTAGCCGATTTCTTTCCACCTGTATAACACTATTCCAGCGATAGAAACATGACAGAGTATAACTCCATGACTGACAAAGCCCCCGCAGTGGCAGTCATAGGCCTAGGTATGCTAATATCGAAGACCGCCGTTATAACCGTGGAAACCTCCAAATTTAATTATTCGTCTTTATCATATAGGGGCCCTTGGCTTGGTGGCCATGAAGAATCTGCTCGAAGTGGGATTCGATGTCACTGGCTATGACAAGCATCCTTATGTTGGTGGCTTGTGGAACTACAATGAAAGCAAGGATGCAATTTCTGTTCTACCCAGTACGTCGGTTACTCCGCTGCCCCTTATTGTTCGTCGTCGTTAGAACTGTGACTGACTAGAATCCAGCTACTGTGGCAAATGGCTCAAAACAAAGAGTGGGTTAAACCAAAATTGCCCACGGTTAACGGTCACTGACTTGAGAAATAGGGATGCTTCACGGATTTTCCTTTTCCAAATGGTAAACTTAGCGAGCTGTTTCTTTCCCTGGGAAGGCAAATACAGATACTGACTATTTCAAGATACACCGGATTTTCCACCAGCGGCAGATATGCACAAGTACCTGGTATCATATGCAGAGCACTTTGGTATTTTGCCACGGGCACGGTTGAACACAGTTGTCCATCGCGCAGAGTGGAATCCCGATACCGCCCTCTGGGATGTAGAGACATCTACTGGTGACGAGCCAAAGACTGTTCGGAGTTTTGACAAGGTTGTCTACTCAATGGGGCCCGATCAAACCCCCAATGTGCCCTCAATTCCCGGCATGGATCGATTTGGAGGCGAAGCGGTGCATTCTATTGCATTCAAAAGGTATGTTATCTCTTTTCGTGTTTATTAAAATACTTTGATAGCTGACAATTCAGTCCCGATGATTGGGCTGGCAAACGAATGCTAGTTGTTGGTTTTGGAAATACTGCTGCTGATGTAGCCTGTGAGCTTGCAGGCAAGGCGGAAACGGTGTATCTGTCTCACCGACACGGCAGCATTGTGGTAAGTTAAGCACCAAATCTCAATTTTCTCTACCACCCTTCTGGTAGCTCACATAGCGTGTAGCTGCCTCGATGGGTTGATAACAGACCCGTCGATCACATTCGAACATATCGCAAGGGCGTGTTCCTTGAGCAGCTGTCTCGCTACGCCCCGAACATCTGGACAAAGCTCATGAACAAGGTCATTATTGGCCTAAGAGATCGACTCTACGATCTCAAGCCCGAGTGGGGATTTGACCCAGCACCATCAGTGAATCAAGCACGCCCCATTATCAGTGATTACTTGGTCGATAATCTCTCTCGTGGACTTATCACCTCAAAGCCCCCGATTGAGAAGATTCTTGATTCCCACAAGATTGAATTTCAAGACGGAAGTGTCGCCGAAATTGACGGCATCATTTGGTGCACCGGCTACACTGTTGACTACTCTATCTTGGGTAAAAGTGACCCCACTATCTACCGGGGATCGGAAATTCGCAGTGCCAATGGCCGCAAGATTCCACGTCTCTACCAGAATTTGCTCTCTCTGGAACATCCGGAATCTTTGGCATTTATGGGAAATCTGTCGTTCATGAACCCGGCTTTCCTCATGTTCGATTTGGCTACAATGGCCTTGGGTCAGGTGTGGTCTGGGCGATCCCCCCTCCCATCTCGCGAGGAGATGATACGCGCAGTCGATAAGCAGCACGAATGGCTTGCAGAGCTGGCAACTAAAGGAGCTGTCACCCCGGGTCTCGTGAAGGGTGCAGACTGGTTAGATTGGGTCGAGGAAACCGCAGGACTAGGAATGAAAGAGAATCTCGGATACGGCCTGCAAGGGTGGTATTTCTGGCTTACAAATCGTTCACTTTGCAACGTTCTCATGGATGGTCTACTTTTGCCATTCCACTATCGCTTGTTTGAGGGGAAGCGGAAGCGATGGGAGGGTGCTGAGGAGGCCATCTTGAAGGTCAGCGAGGAACTGCGCATCAAGAACACGACTAAGAAGTGGCAGTAAGGGGGTTGGAATTGGTATTTTGTCATCTATAGCTTTTACTCGGTATATTTCATCAAGCTCTAGAATTTTATCTGTTCTCATTTTCTTAAATTTTTTCTCCCGATCGCATTTGCATAAGATGTGTCTGGTGCCCGCTTTGATCGGGCTTGAATCGGAAATCGGGCTCTCGGTCCCCGTAAGATCAAGTATATATTGATGGAAAACTTTCAATGCCAAAAGATACTGTTTATTTTCCAAAGAGGGAGCAACAAGAACAAATCACTACACTATGACTGAAACTGCTGTTCAAAAGATTGTAATAGCGGGAGGGGGAGTCGCCGGAATTTCGCTGGCACATCATTTGCTCCGACAGACAGTACCGGCCCTGACCGATGGCCTTGGTCAATCTTATCATGTCACTCTCATTTCACCATCATCGCACTTCTATTGGAAAGTCGCAGCTCCACGGGTTTTGGTGGACCCCAATTCAAACCTTCCAGAGCCCTTTGTGGCTATCGCAGATGCATTTGAGGAATATCCCGAATCGCGATTCACTTTCATCCAGGCCCGTGCTACAGATCTCAACAAGGAAGCTCGAAATCTCCAAGTACAGCTGGCAGATAGTAGTGAAGTTATCTCTGTGGGATACGATTCTCTCGTGATTGCCACCGGAACAACCACTCACAGCCCTCTGTTCTCTTCAGCCGAGACCCACGCCGAGACGAAGCGTGTACTCGGGGAAATGCAAAATCGCTTACGCGACGCCCAATTAATCCTCGTGGCTGGTGGGGGGCCGACTGGAGTCGAGACGGCAGGGGAGCTAGGAGCAATGAGACAATACTGGTCCAGTCCAAAGAAATCAATTACCTTGTTATCCGGCAATGCATGTCTGCTCCCCCATGCCAATCCTCGGACCTCTTCGACAGCTGAGCAAATGCTCCAAAAGCTGAGTGTTGATGTGGTTCACGGAGTCCGGGTCACTTCTGCGGGCCAGAAAAAGGACGGTCAAGGCTCATGGGAGGTGACTCTGAGCGATCATTCTACGCGAACAGTCGATGTCTACATTGACGCAACGGGGTGCACGCCTAATACTGCATTTTTACCGTCGGAGTGGCTCGATTCCAGAGGTTACGTCAAGACTGACCGATCCAGTCTGCGAGTACAGGATACTCCTGGAGTCTACGCGTTGGGGTCAGTTACCTCGTTCACCAATGGAAGTTTCTTCGACGCAATCGAGCCCGTTCCACCTCTCGCCGACAGTTTCCGGGACGACCAATTGGCGCGGTATCCTGAGGTGTCTTCTCGGAGCCAGACTTGGTGGGAATGGATATTCGGTCGTCCGACACGATTGTATCAGCAAAAGACATCGCTGACGCAGTTTGTAGCTGTGGGCAGAGACGGAGGTGTCGGGGAACTTGGGGGCTGGCGAGTGCCAAGTGCTTTAGTATACAAGGCCAAGACAAAAACTTACATGGTGGAGAAGATGCAATCGATTGTATACGGGCGAGATACTCGTCGGACGTAGCAGATGTCAGGCCCAAACGGGAGAATATCAATCCATTTCTAGTTTTGTTTTATCGATTTTGCTTTTCTGCCGACTTTGCTATATTATATGTTTTAACGAATATACTACTTCGTATGGACATTCTAGCTCTATCACTGGATTCTTTTCTTTGTTCTGACTTCTTTGTTGCTCTCATTTCTCCTGCTGTGTGTAGGCCGGATAACAGCTCGGGTCAGCCTGAATTAGGGCTACATCGGGCCCCGAGGTACGGGTACCTCTCCCGATCTCACCCCCGAACATCCATCCAACGCTTCCTAAGTATATGTTTTCTTTTAGTAAGACCCGTAAAGCTTTGGCTTTGTTTGATTGCCCATCATGCGCTTCCTTTGCCTCCACGGGCGCGGCACCAGCGCCCACATTTTCAAGTCCCAAACTGGTATGATTATCCATTATCACTGGGCCATCAGCGCTAATACACAGAACCTAGCATCTTTCCGTCTCAAGCTCGAGTCTCTTGCACCCGATACAACCTTTGAATTCATAGATGCGCCCTTTGAGTCCGACCCTGCTCCAGATGTAGTGCCCTTCTACTCTGCTCCATACTACACTTTCTGGCAAGGCAGTTCAGTCCCTGCTATCAAAGGCGCTCTCGAACGATTACAAGCAAAGTTAGATCATGATGGTCCCTATAACGGTGTGCTCTGTTTTTCGCAAGGATGCAGTCTAGTTGCTAGCTACCTTCTTTACCACGAACGCACACGCCCAAACACACCACCACCTTTCCGGTTGGCCGTGTTCATCTGCGGCGGTGTGCCCTTACCAGTCCTTGAGGACTTGGGTCTTCCAATTTCTTCGGAAGCCCAACAATGGGATGACGAAACAAGACGTCTCCTTCTTTCTAAGACGACCGATCATAGTTGGTTGAAGCGGAAGAATAGCACCGGTCTTGGTGCAGCCACCGATCGATGGGATCCGGTCCCAGGTACTTGTCCAGTCATCCGCGGTTTAGAGCATCCAACCAGCATTTTTGGGCTGGATTTAACAATCAAACCGGCTGATATGAGGATTCGCATTCCTACCGTCCATATTTGTGGATCGAAAGATCCGCGCTTCCCTGCTGCGGTGCAGCTGCATGCTTTATGTGAGGAGGAGGCGCCGTTGTGGGATCACGGCGGTGGTCATGATATTCCCCGAGGAAAAGAAACATCTCAGCGTATTGCAGAGTTACTAGTCAAAGGGATGAGTCGGGGAGAGGAATGGGTGCATCCTGCAGTTCACGGGGTGGCATAAACGTTCAGCGCTTGCTTAATATATATCTGTGGCGAGGTTGTGGTCTCAGGGGATTCTCTGCACTGAGAAGACCTATCCATTAAATGAACCGGCTTTCCTGGCACAAATTACAAGTCTTGTCGTATTGTGTTATAATGCAGACCCAAGTTTCAAAAAAGATGACATGAATTCATGTAGGCAGTAGAATAAATAATAGGTGACATTAACGGCACGACGAGGCTAGTTTTAATGAGGAAACCCCCCCTTTCAATACAAAATGCTACATTCGAAATACAAAAGTTACCTACCGAATCATTATGTATAATTCACATGAATACTTCTTGCTGATATCGTTTGCGACTGTATACGCGATCTCTATTTATTTATCCCTATAATAGATTAACTTAATATTCTACTCCCCCTCCTACTATATCGCTCTCTTTTATAGTCTTTCTATAGTATTATCAATGATCTTTTCAATGGTCTTTTCTAAGATGGGGCTATGTATCCATATGGACTGTACTGATATCTTGTAATTTTCGAATGTAGCATTCTGTATCGAAAGGGGGTCATTCCTTATTAGGACTAGCCTTGTCGTGTCATGAACTTTTCTGTCGTGTCGTTAATGCCATCCTAAATAAGTAGCATGTAAGATACAAAGTTTTGAAACTCCAAACCCTCAATACTCAGATTTTGGAATATAAATCGACAAATATTGCCTATGTAAAGAGCGAGAAAAAGACTTCAGGGAGAATATACGGCGACCTTTTTTCCGGTTGCAAGATTCGGACCTATAGACTACTACACGGTCACATGACCCCACATACAAACAAAATCAACGCGTCACCCGCGGTTACATGCCGTTGGCTTACGAGTCAATTAACAGAGACCAGATCAATTGCGTCTAACAAGGTGTATTAAAATGCCATACACCGTTGTGCTGTAAACCAGCGACTCCAGCACCTTCGATTACTGATAATCACTAATCAAGACTAACAGTCAGAAGTGACATGACACTACCCCGAGGCTGCGCCACATCCGTGAGTCGGAGCCGTTTATCGGCAAGACTCAACAAATGAATCCAATCATCCAGATCTCTCTCACAACTGTTAAAGACTTGCAGCATGGTTAAATCGCGCACACGAAGGAGCCGCTCCTTAGTTGACGCTATGGACCCAGGGCGCGGCAAGACCGAGTCCATGATGACGATTCGCGAACCCCGACGCATCGCCGGGACTAGTTGCTGCAGTATCCGCACAGCCTCGGGTATAGCCCAGTCGTGCAAGATCATGCGGAGCAAGTAAATGTCAGCCCCGATGACTGGCTGTGGCTGGAAGAAATCGTGTGCTTGGAAAGTAACACGAGACGCTAGCTCGGGCTTCAACGTTGCGGCCCCTTCAGCGGCGTTCTCAGGGAGGTCTTGGACAGTGATGTTCAGCTCTGGGAACGAAGTTGCTAGCGCCATCCCTGCATTTCCGGTGGAGCCTCCGACCTTTGGCACTGGTTAGCCTCATGTTGACAGATTGATCGGATGGGCAATAGGGGAAACATACATCCACGATCTTCGCTGATCCAAGTCCCGCCCAGTTGAAGCCAGAGAGCAGGTGGTCAAGCTTAGTACCTTCACTGCTAGTTACGTTCTTCATGTATCCGGCAAACTGTCTAGTTCGCTCGGGTAGCGTGGCCAAGTGATCAAAGAACGGCAAGTCGGTGTTGGCGGCGACATTATAGGCCGTCTCGGTACGCGATTGACTAGTCGGCCATCGCTCTGTAGCAACAACCAGACTCAACGCAGCCGGTACGGAGGCCTCGCACATGAACTGAGCCCAGTCGCTCAAACTTTGGTTGGTCACGAACTGCGCTGAAGTCGCCGTGTGTGCGATGCTACCTGGCTGGGGCTCGTAAAAGACTTGACTGGTCATGATCATACGTGCTACAGTCTTCAGTGTTCGCTCAGGGACCCCGGCATCAGCTGCCAGCTCGGAATAGGTAATTGATCCAGTCGAGGGAACCCGTGAAAAAATACCGAAATGAATCAACCAGTGGAGACACGACAGATATTGGTACTATGTGGACAATTTTAGTTGAGTTAGTTGAGTTGGGAAGGGGGAAGGGACAGGAGACGCAAAGTGCCCCCCTCCTTCAAGATATTGGAGCAAAGACACAACCTACATTCACTGCCAGGTTAGGTAAATACTCTCTGGGTCCTGATGCAAGCTGAAACATCTTCATTGATGCCTCCAGCAGCGCCTCGCGTGCTTTCTGGACATCAGTGGGAGCGGTAGCGGGAACTACTGTTGAAGCAGCATCGCGGTTGAATGACGGCGCCTGGTGACCCTCAGAATGTAGAAAAGTGCTCACAATCTGAGCATTGGACGAAATGGAACTCGCCAGCTCGTTGAGCAGATCATCATTTTGGGTTGGCAGTGACTTAGGGTCTGCTGAACCCTCCGAGACTGGCGAAGACTCGCCGTTGAAGATCAGGGGAGACATGACACGAGCAACAAAATGATACAGATAGTTGAGCATACTATGAAATCGTGGCGCTTGATTCTCCGGAGAGCACTTATCTCTAATAAGAACACAGGGGGAAATCAAGAGGATAGACACCAGAAAAGTCTCAAACACGAATATAGCTCGGAGACCGGGTCCGGTGCTTGGTATCTGGTAAATTCGGGTTTCGAGTACAAGTCGAAGGCCGGATCTCGATTATCAGCATTTCACAGCCGTTCGGCCATGATATCGCAATTCCGATCGTGCGTCTTTGTCTATCCCGATTATTGGTCGTCCGTGGTGGGCCTGCAAGTGCCTTTGGCAGCTGTATCCCCGAGGCTTGTCAATGCTGACCCGATGGGGCTGCATTGCCACATGGAAACGCTTCCACCTGTCTCGGGTCATCAATCTATACCGATACGATGAGGTTTTGTAATCAGGATCTGGGATGTTAAAATGACAGCAGAATACCCGCGGAAGCAAATAGGGATGCATTTACTCAGTCCCTGAGTGCTACCAGACCTTCTATCAACATGGCACGCGTTCAGCAAATCATTCTGTTTGGAGACCAAACCGACGACTTCACATCGCTTCGTCGTCTACTCAGTCCGAATGGAGAACCACTGCTGAATGCCTTTCTGAACAAGGCCATACGAGGATTGCGAGCGGAGATTAGCTCACTGCCGCTTCAAGTCCGCCAACAATACCCTCATTTTCCTACAGTGGGCAGCTTGTTGGACTGGAGGGATGCTCAGAAGAAAGCGTATCCATCTATTAATAGTGCTCTGACTTGTGTAAATCAGCTGGCTCATTTTATTCAGTAAGTACATGTTCTTCTGCTCGAGGTTGACGCTTGAAGCTGACATCCAATCATCTATTCTAGCGCTCAAAGCGAAGCCTCTACCTATACCAGTCCCTCAGCAACAATCATCGGTGGCCTTTGCCTTGGATCTCTATCTGCAGCGGCCGTAAGCAGTTGCCAGTCTATTTCCGAGCTCCCCGATGTCGGAGCACGAACCATCCAGATCGCATTTAGAACCGGCATGCATGTATCCCGAGTCGGACGCGCGATTGATCAATCGGAAACGGAGTCATGGTCTATGGTGGTTGCAACAAGGTCACCAGATGATATTTCACACCGAATCGATAGATTCATAGAAGCCCAGGTTGGTGCTTTATTCTGTGTCTCAAGCTGAGTGAACAAGGAAAATTCTAACCATAAGTAGCATCTACCGACGCATACTCGGCCCTACATCAGTGCATATTTGTCTCACGCGGTGACAATCAGTGGACCACCTACGAGTCTGTTCAACCTGAGACAATCTGCCGAGTTTGCTAGTCTCGCCCCACGATCTATCCCTATCTTTGCTCCTTATCATTCTTCTTCTCTTTTTAACCCCGCCGATTCTGAGTGTATTCTGGGTGACCTTCTCGCCAATGAGAAGAAGACCACAAGCAGCATCCCGTTCATCTCCAGTACAAGTGGAAGACCTTTTGAGGGAACGGATGTTCGCTCTCGATTTGAATATGCCCTGGCTCAGATCCTCCTGGAGACTCTCCGATGGCAGAGCTTTGTCAATGGGATGATTGCAGCTCTACCCGATCATGACACTCCCGAGGCCCCTCAATTCCATGTCCAGTCATTTGGTAGTTCTGCAGGGCCTCGGCTTGCCGAAGCAATCGAGGCGGCGACCAGCCTCACTCGTTATCAACCCGCCCCTTCTACAACCCCGGCGTTGAAACCGACGGAAAATATTGACTCATCCAAGATTGCCATCATCGGATACTCTGGCCGGTATCCACACGCCGAGTGCAACGAGGAGTTCTGGGACCTTCTCATCAAGGGACTTGACGTGCACGAGGTTGTTCCGGCCATGCACTGGGATGCAAGGACTCACGTCGCAGAACCAGGAAAGGGAAAGAAGAACACAAGTGCCACGCCGTATGGCTGTTGGTTGCAGAATCCAGCGGCGTTTGATGCTCGTTTCTTCAATCTATCACCTCGCGAGGCTCCTCAGGTAGACCCTGCGCAGCGCATTGCCTTGATGACAGCCTACGAGGCTATGGAGCGAGCTGGCCTGGTACCTAATGCCACACCATCCACAGCAAAGGATCGTGTTGGTGTCTGGTACGGTGTCACATCCAATGACTGGATGGAGACCAACACGGCACAGAACATTGACACGTACTTCATTCCCGGTGGCAATCGGGCTTTCATTCCCGGTCGTCTAAACTACTGCTTCAAGTTCACCGGTCCTAGCTATGCAGTTGACACCGCATGTTCGTCCAGTCTGGCGGCTATTCACCTCGCCTGCAATGCCCTCTGGCGTGGCGAAGTCGACACTGCTATTGCTGGAGGCACCAATATCCTCACGAACCCTGACTTCACGGCGGGTCTGGATCGCGGCCACTTCTTGTCCCGAACGGGCAATTGTAAGACTTTTGATGACGAGGCCGATGGATACTGTCGTGGTGAAGGTGTCGGTACTGTCATTTTGAAGCGTCTTGATGATGCTCTGGCGGACCGCGATCCTATTTGCGGTGTCATCCTGAGTGCTGGTACGAACCATTCTGCTGACGCGGAGTCCATCACTCGTCCTCATTCTGGTGCGCAGCAACATCTTATTCAGAATCTGCTGCGCACAGCTGGAGTTTCACCATACAGCATTAGCTATGCCGAGATGCATGGAACGGGGACCCAGGCTGGAGATGCTGGAGAGATGAACTCGGTGCTGTCTACGCTGGCTCCACCTTCTGTTCCCTATCGCACCCCAGAACAGCCGCTGTACCTGGGATCAGCAAAGGCCAATATTGGACACGGAGAGGCTGCCTCTGGTGTGTCGAGTTTGATCAAGGTATTGCTGATGATGGAGAACAATGCCATAGCACCCCACTGCGGAATCAAGACTCGCATTAACCGAAAGTTTCCCACCGATCTCGGCGACCGCAACGTGCGTATTGCGTTGACTCCCACGGCATGGGAACAGCGACAAGGCGAGCCTCGTCGCGTGCTGTTGAACAATTTCAGTGCCGCTGGTGGTAACACTGCGCTGTTGTTGGAAGACGCGCCGTCGGTGCCTGAGCCTACCAAGGAAATTGATCCTCGAACCAGCCATCTGGTTGCTGTCTCGGCCAAGTGTGCCTCATCCCTCGAAGCGAACGTCAAGTCACTCCTCGCCTTTATCGAATCCTCTGGAGAAGGTCTCTCTTTGCCGCAGCTTTCGTACACAACGACTGCCCGTCGCATGCACCATCTGCATCGTGTTATCGTGCAAGGCACTAATATCCCCGATATTCAGCAGCAACTCCAGGCTGCCCTCTCTCGCGGCGATGGTGCTAATCGGCCACTGGGGATTCCTAAGCTCGTGTTCGCCTTCACTGGACAGGGTAGCCAATTCGTTGGCATGAGCCGACAGCTTTACGAGTCCATGCCATCGTTCCGGAGCAATATGCAGCTATTGGACCGTATTGCTCAATCACTCGGCTTTGATAGCTTCCTGCCCTTTATCGAGGATGATTCTGATTCCAGCTTGAAGCGCTTCTCACCCATGACTGCACAGCTGGCGAGCGTTTGTCTTCAAATCGCATTGGCCCGCCTCTGGGCATCTTTCGGGATTGTTCCCAGTGCCGTGGTCGGCCATAGTCTGGGAGAGTACGCTGCCTTGAACGTGGCCGGTGTCTTGTCCGACGCTGATACCGTCTTCCTGGTTGGTAAGCGGGCACAGCTGTTGGAAGAGCATTGCACTCTGCATACCCACAGCATGTTGGTCGCACGGGCATCAGTCGCGACTGTTGAGTCGGTCGTGTCTGGGATGCAATATGAAATTGCGTGTATCAACGCGCCCGAAGAGACCGTCCTGGCGGGACCAAATGACCAGATTGAAACGCTTCAGCAAGCCTTGTCGCAAGCGGGTGTGCGATCCAAGACGATTCCGGTTTCATATGCCTACCACTCATCCCAGGTGCAGGCCATCCTGGATGATCTGGTCCAGGCCGCTCAGCCGATTGTTTTCAACAAACCGTCGATCCCTGTTCTGTCGCCCTTGTTGGGAGAAATTGTGGAGAGTGAAGGAACATTTGGGCCTGGATATCTCAAGCGACACTGCCGTGAGACTGTGAACTTCCACCAAGCAATGCAGGCAGCTCGATCTGCGGGCGTAATCACTGATCGCACCCAATTCGTCGAGATTGGGCCCCATGGAGTGGTCACCGGCCTGATCAAAGCATCCTCCAAGACATCCCAGGCGCATGCCGTGCCGACTCTGCAACGGGGACGCGATAACTGGCAGAGTCTGGGCGAGGCTATGTCGACTCTTTACCGTGCCGGTCTGGACATTGCTTGGAACGAGTATCACCGATCGTTTTCTGCTGCACAGCATGTCATTCGTCTGCCAGCGTATAACTGGAACTTAAAAGATTACTGGGTTCAGTACGTTAATGACTGGTCTCTGCGCAAAGGAGATCCACCTCTTATTCAGACTGCTCGTCTGGAGGAGTCAACCACGATCCATCGCATTTTGGAGGAAACAAAGGACGGTATCGTGGTTGAAGCTGATCTGTGTCGCAAGGATTTGAGTCCCATTGTGCAAGGTCACAACGTTGATGGGATTCCTCTCTGCACTCCGGTCTGTGCTTCCTTTCCCATCCCATCTTTAATGAAGCTTTTAATACTAACGCCTTTCTAGTCGGTATATGCCGATATTGCCATGACGGTGGGTGAGTATCTTCGCAGCCGCAGCCAATGCCAGGATGTCGACACCGTGGTTGCAATCACAGAAATGACCATCAAGAAGGCGCTTATTGCAAAGCCCAGCGGCACCCACCTTTTGCGCGCAGCGACAACCGTCGACTGGGATGCAGGCAGTGCTTTGTGTCGATTCCTTACCCTCGATGTAAGTCTAGTATTACCTTAAGGTCAAAATATCCAATGCTGACTCTGCGGTAGTCCAAGGGTCAGCCCACTAATGAGCATGCCCACTGCACGATTCTCCTGTCAAGCCCGACTCGCCGCGCAGCCGCTGAGAAAGAACGTGCTAAGATTCAGAAACGCGTGCGAGAAATGCGCGAGGGTCTGGAGCCTGGCAAGACCCAGCGATTCAACCGTGCCATGGTGTACAAGATGATCCGTCCTTTGGCGGAATTCCACCAAGACTACCGCACGATCGAAGAGGTTATCATTGACAGCAAGACTCTCGAGGCTGCTGGTCGTGTTTGCTTCTCTGAAGTGCAATCTGCTGGAAAGTTCCATACCCATCCGTCCTATCTCGACGGCCTGGCCCAGTCTAGTGGATTCGTAATGAACTGCAACGATGACGCTGACCTTGACCGGGAAGTGTTTGTCAATCACGGTTGGAAGAGCTTGCAGCTGTATGAGCCCTTGCGACCCGACGCACACTACAGCACATTTGTGCAGATGGTTGAGGGTGATAGCCGCATGTACGAAGGCAATATGATTGTGATGGATGGGGATACCGTTGTGGCAACCTTACAAGGTGTCGTGGTAAGTAATTTACTTTCCCGGTCGTATCTACTTGGAGGTTCTAATTTTTCTTTCCACAGTCCCAAGGTGTTCCCAGACATGTCCTGCGCTACGTGCTCTCGATGGAGAGCGGCGATCCAGCCCTTGTGGCGTCTGCCAAGAAGGCGCTTGTCGCTTCTGCGAAGCAGACCCTCAAGGCAGCAAGCCCTACGCCGAAGAAGGTTGAGCAGCGAACTACTCCTTCCATCCCAGTTGCTGCACCCCAAGTGGCTGTGAAGCCATCATCATCTCCGGCCAGCTCATCCTCACTCGTGGCCTCTGCGCTGCAAATCATCTCGGATGAGAGTGGCGTGGCTTTGTCCGAGCTGGAAGACAGCTGCATCTTTTCTGACATGGGGCTGGACTCTCTCCTCTCTCTCGTCATCACGAGTCGATTCCGCGAGGAGCTGCCTATCGAAGTTCCCGTGGAAGGGTTCTTCATCACTTATCCCACGGTGGCTGATTTGAAGACGTACCTTGGCCAGCATCAAAGCAGCGATACAGCACCAACACCAACCCTAGACGTGCCCACGCCCATCACCGTCGAGGCATTCCCCGTCGCTGCTCCTCAAGCCAAAATTGCGTCGACTCCTTCTAATTGGACAACTGCACTGTCAATCATCTCCGAAGAGAGCGGCATCAGCATCGCCGAATTGACCGACGACTGCGTCTTTTCTGACATGGGTATCGACTCACTGCTATCACTCGTGATTGTGAGCCGATTTGCCGAAGAGCTGGAAATGGACGTTCCCCTTGAATCCATCTTCACCGATTACCCGACCATTGGCGAGGTCAAAGTCTTGTTCGTGGCCGATCCATCTAGCAGCGATGACTCGAGCTCCGGCGACGATAACGATGTCACGCCAGCCCCGGGAGCCATCACTCCAACCTCGGAAACCTCGGGATACTTCCCGTCTGCCGACGACGACAAGGATTCGAAGCCAGCAGCCCAACCCGTGCCAAGGACTACATCTGTTCTCTTGCAGGGCTCCCCATCCAAGACGGACAAGACCTTGTTCCTCTTCCCCGACGGTGCTGGCTCCGCGACCTCGTACACGGGTATCCCACGGGTCGACTCGAGCGTCTCTGTCGTAGGCCTGAACTCCCCTTACCACCGCCAGCCCCATCTTTTCAATTGCACCGTGGACGACCTGATCAAGAGCTACGTCGAAGAAGTCCGTCGTCGCCAACCGAGCGGCCCCTATCACTTCGGCGGTTGGTCCGCGGGCGGTATCTTGGCCTACCGCGCCACTCAGATGATGATCGAGGATTACCAAGAGCGAGTCGAGAGTCTCACACTGATCGACAGTCCCGTACCGCATGGACTAGATCGTCTCCCGCAGCACTTCTACGACTACTGCAACAAGGTCCATCTCTTTGGCAACAGCCAGGGTGAAAAGGGTCCCGCCCAGGCCCCGGAATGGCTGGTTCCCCATTTCAATGCCACGATCGACACGCTGCACGAGTACTATGCTGCTCCCTTGACGCTGACCGATGACAACCGGCCCCGCGTGTCGATGATCTGGGCTTGCTCGAGTGTCATGGACAACGCGGACATTCCACGGCCACCGTCTTGCGAGGAGGACGGGGAGGGAGTGAAGTTTTTGACCGAGGCTCGCACTGACTTTTCGGATAATGGGTGGGCGAGGCTCTTCCCCGGCTGCGAGATTAACATTGAGAGGGCGCATGGCGCTAATCACTTTACTATGATGAGGGGGGACTTTGCCCCTAAGCTTGCATCTTTCATTCATCAGTCGCTTTAATTTTGGAGTTTTTCACTTTGATGTTTTTATTATAAGTCAGAATGAATATGTATAAACTTTGTACAGATACTTTATTGGTGGAACTTAGGATCGTCGACTGAACTATGCGTAGAACTATAAGTCAAACAACTCATGCAGGATGGAAATCACAAGAGATCCCCCATTCTTTCACAACCATATATATCCACAAACCATCACCCCGAATAAGCATCTCCATAATTCCGATCATACTCCCTCACCTCCTCCATCTTCGCCGTCGACATGCGCCCATTCTTCGACCGCAAAATGCCCGTCCTCGCATCCACAATCGGCCGAATAAATCCACGCGTCTCACCCTTCCCCTCCTCCTCCTCCTCCTCCTTCTCCTCCCCCTTCTCCTTGAACGGGAACCACATATCCCCCAACCCAGTAGGCTTACTATTAATATAAATAGCCTCCCAATGCCCGCGCGGCACCACATAAGTCTCATGGTAAATCGCAATATGCGGACTGTCCCTGACAATCCGATTCCAATACCGGACACCGTCCATATGCACCTCGCCATACGCAAACCGATGTAGCGACTCAAAATCGCGTAGGTAGAATACCGTCATCGTGTCATTGCCCGCGGCATCATCCTGCTTGATCCAGCGGGACGTCCCTAGGAGCCCAGATTTCTGCGGGTCGGCGCACATCTCGTCGATCATGGCTTCGAAGTGCTCGCCGAGCGCTTTCATGCCCGGGGCGAATAGGCCGAGGGGGTGGTTGCTGCGTGCGCCGAGGTGGAAGACTACGATTTGATCGCGGGAGGGCTCGTGCCCGAAAGTGCCGTCTGGGTAGGGGATTTGGGGACTCCATTTGGTGTGCACCACACCGTCGAGGTACCGGTTGCGGGTGAGCTTGAAGGTTATTAGGAGGGTGTCGATGGCCCGGTAGAGGAGGATGAGGGCCGTGGGGAGGAGGGTGATTGGGCCGAGGGTTAGCAGGCTCAGGCCCTGGAGGAGACCGCCCACCAGCAGCCAGCTGGAGAGTGTCAAGTTATCGCGGAAGGCGGGTGAGAGGGAGGGGCGGGTGCCTGGAATAGGCGTTGCAGCATTGGGATTTGTGGCATTGTGTGGGATGATATGGGGTGGAACGAGAGGTTTGAACGTTGCCATGTTTGTTCGACTATAAACCGTTGATGGATTGATTGTCAAAACACGAAGGGGGATATCGGCCATCTTTATATTTTGGATAATAAATGGCCCGTAAGAAGACATCCCAGACCTGCCACCCCGCTTATGGGATCTATAGACGAGCGAGCGAACCAGCGCCCCGTATTGATCATCAGCTGGCCCTCAGCCTTACGGTCCATATACAAACCCCACAAGGCTGGCCAATCACTCCATTGCTGACCTTGCGCTGCTATGGCTAGACCGATTCGTTGAGGCTGTGTCCCTCGTATTTCGAGCGGCACATATTACGGTTTGAGTCTACCGCTTACACCTCATAGTATTCATTTCGGTTGTGTTCTCCGTACACAGAGGCATTACGTAGTCCTGGATTCATGAGTATTCTCTAGCAAGTAAATACGTAAGACAATACATCAACTGGATTATGTCTAGGCTACAAAACGTGCCAGACAATAGCCGTACCAGAAGTTCCCCACAGCCGCATGTATGACGCAGCACCTTTGCGGAGTCGGGCTATTAGGTGGCCGTCGGGATCAGCCACTCAGCCACCCGACTATTAGGCATGAAGGTGGAGATTGTCTAGCCCAACCTAGTTTACATGAAGCACTCCTGCTTTGTTTATGTTCTATCGCGATGGTTAGCCGGTCGGATCGGATGAATAGATGTGGACTCGGATGGATTATCAGTGAGCTAATAAAGCCGTACTCGCTTGAAGGCGGGCCACTTCCTAGAATTAAGGTTCAAGGTTAGTTGACGCGGTCTACTAATAATATTCAAAGTGGAATCAAACTCCCAATCTCATAGAATCCATGTATTAACAATTACCTATTCCAGAACAGGCCAGCAAAACACAGCACAACACCTGCATATATCAACCCCCCCTCCCAAAAGGCAACCCCAAGCCACCAGAATCAAAGACGAGATCGTCGTTATGGGACTCAACCGTTATATAGATCACAGATCACAGAGCACACACATGTCATATGTCAACATCACTGAGACTACGCCCCATGGGTAGGTAGTAGAGTATCAAGCAAGAAAAAGAAAAGGAAAAAAGCAAAAGACCAATCAAGATAATTAAAGCACCAGAGTTCCAAAACGCCATCGCTGCGATGCCAAACGCCAGAGTGTATTGCGCGTATATTGCCATTGACAGGAAACATGATAATGAGAATGAAGAAGAAGATAATCAACCCTTCCTCTTCGGACCGAAATTAGAAATACGAGAAATCGGAACAGGCAGGAAGGGGATGATGTAAAACGCCTGTTGATGAGTTGTAAAAGTTGTAATAGACAGATTGAACTTGAAATCCGGGTATCAAGGCCAGCTAGCTGGGTTTGTTTCGCAATGTGTAGGGATGCTGATGAGAAAGTGTCGAGAATGAGGTGGAGGTAGAGGTGGAGGTGGAGAAAGCAAACTATCGGAACTCCTGCAAATCCAACTTTGGAGGAGCCCAGTCCAGCTGTGGAGGTTTATCGTTCGTAGACACGCACACGGGACGCATCGCATCAACACGTCTTTTATCCTTCGACGCACCCCCGGTCAAAAAGCCTCTCAGCGTCGACGAAGCCATCCCATAAGTACTCCGTCCACTGCCAGTCCCCGTCGAGACGGTACTAGAGCTGCGAGCGCTTCGAACACTGTTCGCCTTTGTGACTGCTGCGGGTACGGCAGGTACGGGGAGAGCGAGACGTGCTGAGGATGGACTGGATGAGCCGAACTCTGGCGGGAGGATTTGTGATGCACGGGATGTCTGGGGGCGGAGGCTTTGTAGGCTTTTCTTTCGGCTTGTTTTTGGTTCTACTTTGATTTGAACGGGTTGGCTTTCTCTGGTAACTGATCGGGAGAGGTGGATTGAAGATGTCGTGTCTGGTGGTGAGGCCTGGATTTCATCGGCGGAGACGGCGACTTCGAATTTGAGGTTCTCGAGCATTGTACCCAGGCTCGCGGCCGTGGCGGGACGGCCATCGCTAGCGGTGTCGTCGATTGTTTCATCTTCGATACCGTTGGCGATGTTGTAGTTTCGGAGGAGATACCGTCGCAGACGAGAAAGTTCTGCGTCCCACTTGCGTTGCAATGACTGTAGGACGAGGTCCACATTCTGGCTGGCAAATGGCACGGTCTCTGGAGAGGGAGCAGCGTTCGCTGGCATGTGCTTGCTGAGTCGATTACCGGCACCGCCAGGAGGACGAACACCCATGGCAGCATGTAGAGAACGACGGATCGAGGTTGCTGTCGAGGTCTGCACGTTGCTCGTATCCCAGCGAACATTATCCACCTCCCGACGGACCTTCTCAAGTGAAAGAGTCCGGTCGCCATCCATACTGGAAAGGCTGAGAAGAGTGTGGTTGCCCTGCAACCCGTTGACCAGCACGGTAAAAGATTGCAGGTTGATATCGTTGTTCTCGCAGTGTACTTCCCGGAGCGATTCGTTCTCCTCCAGTACCGAGGCCAGCGTATTCGCACCCTGAAGCCCAAGCTTCTGATGCTCGATTCGCAACACCTTGAGAGACTTGTTCTTTTTCAATCCAGTCAACGCAAGGTTGAGCCCGATCCCGAAACGAGCAACGTCAAGATGGGCACTCTCGCCACTGATATCAAGAGCCTCGAGCGTCTCATTCTCCTCAAACATCATCTGCAGCATGCGGCAGGTTTCCGGGCCCGCGTCGTACGGTAGAGACGCCTTGGAAATATCCAAGTACCGCAGAGTCCGATTCTTGCGAAGCGAATCAACGAGAAGCCGGAAATGCTCTTCCTTCTTAAAATCGATCATCTGCATTGACAGGTGTGAGGGGGTCATATTTTTGCCGATTGCGTCGAAAAGGAACGAACAGCCATTGTCCAGGCGGTTCTCGTTGACATGCAAGTGCAAGCTGCGCGGTGAGTCTGGCCCCACGGACATCGAGTGCATGAACATGGCAACATCTTCTCCGCTCAATCCACACTGATCGAGACGAAGCATCCGCAGGTTGCGTGAGCGGTCACTGGCCAGGTATGTCGCGATGGAGTCCACGGTCTCGCGATTGACGGCCGTACGGCTGAGAACTAGCTCCTCGAGCTGCCAATTGAACAGCATTTCTGCCGTAATCAGCGGCTCGGGGCCTGATGTGCGGGAGATGCGGGACAGATTGATCTTTCGAATCTGGCCAAAGTATCCAATATACTGTTGGAGTACGTCTGGACTCAGACGACCCTGCACACCGGAAATGTTGATGACCTCGAGTGTGTTTTCCTGTGCGACCAGGGTAGACAGCAAAAGGTCCAAATCATGCACGGACAGACCACAGTCGCCCACTTCAAGTGCGCGCATGTGACTCTGTTTCTGCGACGCCGCATCCACCAGATAATCCAGATCCGACTCGCCAAGTTTGATACCATTCAAGACGACCCAATCCACGCTAGTGAGTTCCCGACGACAGACGGGGAAGATGGCCTCTGGGATTCCACAACCGGGATCGCGACTACCCTTGTCCAAAGTTGGCGTGCGGGTCAGGCAGTATGCAAAGTCGAGCCGGCGGAGCCATGTGCTCTTCAATGCTAATGCGCGCACCTCTTGCGACAGAACGGTCAAATTTGCCTCTCCTGGGATATGTACAAGACATCCTGATCTGTCGAGGTGTACGTCGACATCCATACCGTGAACGTCTCGCAACCCCTGTAAAGCGTCGAGATTAATGCCGCGGAACGAGATTGACCGAAATGACTCGTTATATCGAAGCGCGCGCATGACTGCAATCAATTCCAGAGCACTGTATCGCGAGCTCGTCGCAGACGCGGGTCGCAAAAGACGAAAGCACGGGGCGTCCTCGCATTCCAGATCGATCGTGTATCGAATATTGGAGGTATCCACATCGTAGCTCGCAGAGTAAGCAACCAAAGTTCGATCAAAGCACCCATAGTCTTCATCCAAAGCAACGGGTGGGAAATTCTCATCGTTATGCAATTCGCGCGGAACGACAAAGTCGTACGGTTGCCTGGTCCACAGCGGGCGTAGGAACTCGGTATGTTGTCGGATCCAACAGGCCACCTCCACCGAATGCACGGAGGCCAGGAATACATTGAAGGATTTTCGAAGTGGGATCCTGAAACGAAGTGTGTCTCAGCGGGAGAACACGGGTGAGACAAACGGATCCACGCATGAGTTTAAACTTACCTGAAAGTCAAATGCAGACTATCGTCGCCGTATTCCATAGACAACCCTGTCAAATTCATCAGACCGAACGAGGCACCGGTCTCCAGATCGGTCAAAGACACGACCGAAGACCGATTAGCCGCCTTTTGCATAGGTATCAGATGAACCTTGTGTAGTCCAATAGCCAGGTAGCAACCCGTGGGCGACAGTTTCGTCAAGTCATCCGAGGACGAACGAGTGGGAGACTTGCTCGACGCAATCTGTATGACGCGGAACATCCGGAAAGCGACCGGATCGTAATCTCGTTCGTGTTCCAACATCCGAATCACGTACTCGACGGAACCCCGATTGAACGGAAGGGGATCGTTTGACCGTGCCATTTGTGCAGCCTGGCGAATTCCAACCATCCAGAGATTCAATTCTTGCAGATCGGCGGTCTGCATTTGGACCAATGCCGCCTTGTGGGTGCGTTCATCGAGGTAGGCCACTTCCACGGTAGGCGATAGTCGTCCATCTTCCAGCATGTACACTGCAATGATACTGTTGAGTGGAATGCCCGCCGATGCCTCGGTGGAAACCATCAGCTGCATGTCCTGCAGCGAACTGATCGAGGCCATGGATTGGCGATGCGACGCCGGAGCTCGGGTATTGTAAGAATGTGGAATCGAAGGAAAGGCATCGGCGGCCTTGGCCTGGTTCTTGAACCGAACCAGATGCGTGTCCGTTAGAACGAGGTACTGGCTTTTGCGCTTCCACATACCACCCATTGTCTGGATTTCACCGTGGTGGAGAATTGCAGACGACCAGATCCCATTTCGGGGACTGATGGCGCTGTGGGGTTCATCTCCCAAGGAAGCCACGGAGGCGCTGAGTAGATCGTCGTCTTCACCGGCGTGCATCGATTTTAACGAGCCGAATACGGATGCTCGTTTCTTCTGTAATGATTTCCGTCGTGGCCGTGCAGTCTCAATGGGAGCCGTCGTTGCAGCCATGGCAGCGGACCAGGCGGCGGTGTCCGAGCCCGCGGTCCCTGGCCGACGGAGCACATTGCCGCCACTGGCCCATCGGTTGGGACTTTGGGACCGGCCAAAGAACCCCGAATTGCGACGTAATTTCTTCTCTCGTGCGGGGGTATCATCGGAGGGAGTGCGAACATGAAGAACGGGTCGAAGAGGCGGAGCCGACGTAGAGGACGAGGGGCTAAAGACGCTCAGGCTTTTTCTTCGTTCTTTTTTCTTGTTGATGATCAGTTCGGCCATGATCGAAGTTGGACAGGCCGTTGGATGAGGGATTGAAGGTGAGTGAGTGAGTGTGAGTGTGAGAGGACGAGAATTGATTGTTATTGAAGCGAGCGTGAGCGTCGGAGATGGAAATCTACGGCGCGAAGAGGAGGTGGGAAAAACAAGCTGTATCTCATTGACGACCCCAGCGTCGTTCTCACTAGACGAGGCACCGGTTAGAATTGCAGTCCAATGGCCATCCTCGGACCGCGCAGAAGCTCGGCCAGCTAGCAGGAGAGTCGGGGGGGAGAGGTGGGATTGAAAAGCGGGGGAAGAGAAGACCGGGGGGGNTTTTGGGGCGTGGTTGGTGAAGCAGGACGTACAGTCAACCTTCACGGCGCCATGAGAAGCAAATTTTGGAATTAGAAGGTCGGGGTTGGCAGGTGGAATCTTCGGGAGGATGAGAGAGGGAGTTGGAAAGAGTAGAGATGTATGGCCGCTGTCAACAAAGTGGCAAGGTTGAGAGGGGAAAGAGGTGGGTGGATTAACGGGTTGCACCAGGAGAGGAGCTCAGCTGGTTGGAGGGTCCCGGAATGGGGGAATCCGGAGTTTGTTCGTCGCTCCACCAGGGGACCACTTGGGAAAGAAAAAAAGGATCGAAAATAAAAAATAAGAAACGAGCGTGCTCCCAAAGGGCGGTGATCCAATCGACCAGTCCGACACCAGCTGTACAGTAATTCCCTGTTGGCTTGCGTCAAGAGGAGAGGGCTTAAAGGCTAATCCGACCGAGAGATGAGGTCAGAGATGCCGATCATCAAAAAAAAAAAAAAAACGAAAGGACCGAGAACCGAAGAGGGACGATTATTGGAGGGAGAAAGCAGGGCGGCTTGGGGGGGAATCTTTGCCAGGGTTGTGGGCCAGGACGCGAACGGGAACGAGCTGAGTGCGGCGATAAGGAGGCGAGGAAGTACGAAGCACAGGACGGAATCGAGAGGAGAGAGGAGAGAGGAGAGAAAAGAAAAGGGAATAGTGACAAGGAAAAAGGAGGTGAAGAATGGACGGAAGCAGTCGAAGCGGTTGCGCCCCAGCGAAAGAGCATCTCCATCGTGTTTCAGCTTGTGGCCTCGCGTTCGGTTGCATTCGCGTTGGTTTTTCTATTCTTGCAGCAGTCGAACTATTCACACAGAACCAATTGCTTTGCCTTGCAATCTATTCTCGACCAGCACTGTCATACATCGAGAAGCGGGCCGTGGTGTACTCCGGACTACTCGCCTCGATCACGAATGACCCAACTATAGTATACCACTATACCCATGGTAGTAAAACCTCAACGATACCTCTCTATCCGATCCTTGAACATAACCTATCACCGACTCCCACCGATTCCCCGTGGACAACGCCCACCGCCCATCTACTAAGACATGCGTTCGCGACCGATCAAAATCCCATCCTGCGAGCCTGGGAGCCATTGGAGGGGGGCGCTCGTGTCTCCATCGGGGCTCGAGGAATTGAATTAGCGCCTATCATTTCATTTCAGTTGGTGTTGTTTGATTTGCATGTCCACTTTCAGGGACAGGGTTCTTGACTGGCCGGTCATCCCGCAGGAACCACGGAGATCCTGCGCTAGCCACTTCGTTGGACGGGCAATATAGTCTGCCTGATAGACGGGGGATAGTTTCTGGATTTAGTGGACTGAAGTGCTGAAGTACGTAGTCATGATATCTCCGCGTGCACATTCCCGTAGTTCCAATGGTAGGTTATTATTCAAGCACATCCTAATCTCCCCCAGTCGATCTCCGGGTCTCCACCATGATCGCCCGCTGACGCACCACGATGGATGCTCCCAAGGGGAATGGGTCAATCTGACGTTCCCCCGGCCCACGAAAACGGAGATCTCAATAGACCCAACACTGCCAGATGAGTTTCGATCGCCCCGGACGCAATCGCTCTTGCCAAGTTCCCCATGGGACTCGACCGTACTCGAGCCATAACAATTGACGTCATATCCTCGACATGCCGAAAAAGTATGAGAAAAATAAAATAAAAAAAAAAAGAAGAATAAGAAAGACAGCTGCTTCTTTCGGTTTGTTGTTCTCTTAGCCCAGCAGCGGAACGGGCGGTATTGTACACTTTAATTTGGAGGCGCCGTTCATGTTCATGCCCGACGCGGCCTTCTTGGTACTATAGATCGGGCTCGTCACTGCGTCTCGCCCAACGGACGGTCCACTCGTCCAGAATATTCCCCCCTAGCTCTACCTCTACCGGCCGGGTCCCTGCTCCCACTGCGCCTGAAGACGCTCGGCTCGCTTGACCCGCCTCATCAGCTCGATATACTCATTGACACGTCTCTCCGCCCAGATGCAGCCTCCAAGGGTCATCACGGCGATCTGCAAAAACACTTTGAATTGCGGTGTCAGACCGCGGTAGACCCGGGACGCCGGGGAGAGCCACTCGGAGAACCCTTCGATTGGTTTGTAGAAGAGGCGCGAACGCAGATATTCGCGGGAGAACGGTGATGGGCGTGGACGGGGTTGGGATTCGGCGGTGGTGGGAGGTGTTGGCGCGGTAAAGGTGAAGGGGTGGGGGAGGATCATGATCATATGCGCGAGGATTGAGACGGAGCCAAACTGGATAGTGGTGATGACCCGTGAGCAAGTGGATTCTAGTGAGAGAGAGGGAAGACACCTATTCGGGAGGTACTGGTTGCTAGAAACGTACGCGGAATACGCCCGTCATGAAGCCCTTGGCGGCTTCCGTGGTGATCTCCTCCGGGGGCTCATTGCCAGCCCTGTGGTTAATTGGCGGTGGCATATTGAGAGGTATGTTTGAGATATGTGCTCGCGGCCCGCTAAGCTTTCCGTCTCAATTGACGATTCGATTCGATTCGTTGATCTCGAAAGTGAGCTCTCGGCACGGCGCGGGGAGCAGTAGTTCTCGGTAGCACGGTATAATCATTCAACACATCCCAGCCAGAATATCAGAGACACACGGAGCTGAGCCCAATTGGAATCGGTCGAGAAAGACCACGCAGAAAATGAAATCTCTGGACCAGCCAGCCAGATCGTGTCAAATCCAACGTTGATGTCAGAGCAAACCCCGAAGTCACCGACACGCGGATCAACGATGATCCCGATAGCCACTCCGATAAAAGATAAATCCGATTATCACCTCAAAAGACCCTCCAACTTTGAATTCAATACTCCCCTCCCTCCCCAGTCCAAACACCACTCCCACCACAATGCCTCTCCCCGCTCGTACCGCGACCGTCTCGCGGTCCACCAACGAAACCAAAATCCAGATCTCGCTGTCCCTGGATGGCGGTGTCCTGCCACCTTTCGAGCCGATGTCGCACTTCCCCCCATCGACGGACCCCGCCGAGGCCGAGGCCGAGAAGAAGGGCATTGTGCCTATCAAGGGTGCCCACCACGCTACCCAGTTCACGCCTACCCAGCAGATTACTATCAGCACTGGCATTGGGTTCTTGGATCACATGCTGCACGCGCTGGCCAAGCACGGCGGTTGGAGTTTGGCCGTGCGGGCCAAGGGTGATTTGTACAGTGAGTCAACCAATCCAACCTCTGCACTCGTGAATTGCAGGCCTCCGATCCTCGCAGCATGATCAATTGTCCTCCCTTACTAAAATACCTTCTCCAGTTGACGACCACCACACCGCGGAAGATACTTTCCTCGCCCTCGGCACGGCCTTCACCAAAGCCCTCGGCGCGCGCCAATCTCTCGCCCGCTTCGGCCGCGGCGACGCTCCCCTCGACGAAGCCCTCTCCTGGGCCGTCATCGATCTCTCCAGCCGTCCCTGGGCCGTGATCAACCTTGGCTTCAAGCGCGAAAAGATCGGTGATTTGAGCACCGAGATGATCACCCACGGTCTGCAGAGCTTTGCCCAGGCCGCGGACGTTACGTTGCATGTTGGTTGCACCTACGGTGATAATGATCACCACCGCGCGGAGAGTGCGTTCAAGGCGCTCGCCGTTGCTATTCGGGCGGCGACTGCGCGGAGGGTCGAGGGCGAGGTTGGTGCGGGTGATATCGTTAGCACTAAGGGTGTTTTGTAGGTGGTCGAGATCCTTTGGGTTGTATGATGATGATATGGTTGTGATGAGTTGATATACCAAGCTTTTGCATGTTTTATTGTTTGGCGAATAGATTATAAAAGTCGTGAGCTATAGTATATATACTGGACCGAGTTCAATTTCCTTCATTCATTCATCGTCCAAGTAGGCTGTTGAGAATTGCCGATTATAGTCGGGATTTCTTAGTAGATACCAAGCTCCAGATCCCGGGGCCAGTTCACGATCTATGGGGTCCACAATTCCAGTAATTGGCCCACCTCGATAGATTGTCAATGCTTTGCACTATAGTCTCTCCGCACCTCTACTTTTAACATGTCTTCTCCAATTGCTTCTCTCTTGACATTACTCTTAAGCAGTAATGTAGTTCGTGCCGCTGCGCGGATATACACTCAAGTAACAGCACTGACATAGTAAAACCTGCAACCGAATCCAAAATTCAAGCGGAGAAAAGAACATCTAGTAAAGTAAATATTGATTCAGACTCAACTTGTGTGTTCCCTATCCTCAGGCTCTCTCTCTCTCTCTCTCTCCATGAACGAAGGATGCTCCAGGACATCATGTGACTCCCTCCATGACGAGACGAGTCATATACCAACCACACATGCCTTCGCACAACTTCCAACACAACGCCGGCTCATTGCGAGAGAACCTCTCGTCCGCCTACACTCGGTATCTCTACAACTCCAGGCCCAAGATCAACATCTATCCTCAAAGCTACAAGCTACAAATTCAAGATGCCTTCTCAGACCGACTGTCTACGTACGAACCCCCGCCCCTCCCCTCCCCTGATTCAACAAAACACATACTAACAGCCAACCGTAGAGCCTCCCCTCAGCCCTGCTGAACGGCAAATTGTCAAGTCCTACGGTGGCTGGACCCAATTCCTTCTCAGCTTTGGCCTTAAGCCTTGGAAAGACGATGATGAGGAGGAGGGTATGAGAATTCTTCGGGCTTTTGCTGCCGATAATGGAGAGGACTCTGAATGATGGGATCATGATTGGATTTGACTGTGTTTGTGATTTGGGAGAGGGACTTGCCTGCCTCAATAGCTCTATGAGGAAGTCTACCTCGACACGCCATTGAAGCACTTTCAAAACAACCAATGCAATTGACAACACTATCCTAAGAGGATAATTCCATTCCAAACGCCGATGAACAACTCCTAAACCCAGACAGACCGGTAAACCGACCACGGAAGAACCAGCTTCAATGCCCACACCTAGAACTCCGTATCAAAAGCTCCGTATCAAACTCAAACCCCAACGCCAATCACAAAAGAAAGCCAAACACCAAAACCACCACATACAGGTCTCTCAAATCCTAAACACCAAGTGCATCAACGGCCCTCGTCCAATAAGCCTTCCTATCATCCGTAACGCTCGTCCCCACACAATCACTAATGTACTTCTGCCACCCCGCCTCATCACCCTTCTGCAACGCGCTCCTGACATCCGCAGAACACTGCGTAGTCAAGAACCACGCCCCAGACCCGAAATCATAGACCTCGTTTCCACGGAGAAGATCCAACAGGTCGGCAGGGGAGTTTGACACGGCGGGGAGTTTATCTGCAAGATCCGGTAGGGAGGAGGCGTATATTTTGTTGAAGGTTGGCGATTGCATGTTCCGGGCTAGTCGCTGTTAGCTTGTTTTCTTTACTTCAACTTTCAATGTAGAAGCATCCATATAGTTCGAAGCTTTTGTGTTTGGGGGTTTGACAAGGCTGTAGGTTGTGGGGTGGTGATAGACGTACTTCCTTGCCCGGCCACACCGGGGAAATGATTCTTGTTATACTTAAAGTCCAAACTCTCAAAGGCCATCAAACTTATCACGGCGGCTTGTTCGGCCTTGCTGGTGACGCTGTACGTATCGAAGGACTGGGCAATGTTTTTGGCGGCTGTGTCTGCGGTGGCGCATTCGCCTGCTGCCGGGGCGTTGTCGCAAGTGTTCGATGTTGGGGCGATGGTGAGGATTTGGGATTCGGTGATGGTTGTTCCGGCTTTGGTTTTGGTTTTGTGCACCGGTTTGTGGAGGGGGTGGGCCGTTGAGAGGGTGAGGAGGAGGGTTAGGGGGGTGAGGAGGTGCATGTTGTTGCTTGGGGATGGAAAGGTCCAGGTGGTCGTTGATAGCAGATTTGTTGGTTTTGGTGGTTTAATTGTATAGTGTTTGGTTGGGTGGTGGATAGTGGATGGTTCTTGTAGATATAGATGGACGGAACAATGGGGAGGGACAAGGAAACCAGACAATAGACACGCCTGAAAGTGAAAGCGGTTTGTAGGTAAATCTCGTTAGTTGTCTTTTGTAAACTCCAATACTGTCGTTCCAGACATTGGATTCATCGAGCGCAAGGAAATCACCACTTATATACCCACCACCCTCTGCTCCGACCACCCCATGCAATGTCGGACCCGAAACAAGGGCAATAGCCACACATAATACCCCACCGCCGTGAGGAATCAAGAAAGTAAAAATCCACCCCCTGAAAAACACCTCATTCGCCAAATTCAGGGGTTCTGGAGGGGGGTTGGCGGGACGTGTCTCCGTCATGGGGAATGCGAACGTGAATGCCAGGGTTCGCGGAGGTATGGATGCTACACGCCCCTATGCAAGTAATGGCTTACTAAAGATAGATTAGTTAGTTAACTAGTTAACTAACTAAGAGTAAGAGTAAGAGTAAGGTAAGGTGGACATCCACCTCCAGTCCACCACAGAATAGTCTTTACCAGCCTGGCCATGGATTGTGTCAAACAAAATGAGTATTGGGCGTTATAGATTTTTCAAATGCCAATCAGGGATTTGTCGGTACTAAGAATCCCTGAAACTCTCATCGCGAAATCTGCGATCCAGTTACACTTACGAAGATCGCTTGTAAAGCGGTAGATTTTGTTGAACGTCAGGGAGTAGTCTGGCCTAGGTATGTGTGTGGATTTTAATTGGTGAGATGGAGTTGTAGGGTTGGTACTAGTTATAGGGTCTCAGGGTCGCGTTTCAGGTACGCTGAAACACTGAAACGCAGAGACGGGCGCTTGGCGGTTATCCCGGGCGAACTCCGTTGTAACCCTTACTTGGACTTGGCTACTTGATTTAGGTGATAGGTCAATCGGATTGTTGCCGGGACCTGATGCTGGTCCTATAGCAACCGTGGCCAAATTGATTCTTTAGATTTTGACAGCACAAGAATCAAAGGTCACGGCTGTGCTTCTCGCTTGCGACGGAAGGATAGCAGGGCCGAGTAGTTGTACATCGAATCATGATATGACATACAACAGAAGTATCTCCTAGAAGGATTCCAGTTTACCGGGGTTCCCCGAGCACCAAGTCCTCGATATTCATCATACAAGCAAAACAGAACCCATACATCCCATCTACCACCCTACGAGAAAGGCTATTTTGTAACAAGACACTCGGCAGAATCAAATTATATCCAAAGGAAAACAAATCCTTTGAACCGATGATTGAATTTGATATTATTCAAACAGAGATACATCCAATATCCACATCCAAGTGTAAGTGCAAGTACAAGTGCACGCCTAAGCGCAAGTGCGAGGTCAGATCCACGATCAAATCCTAAATCAAACGACTCCCGATCAATCCGATTGTATCATCCTTCTCCCTCCCGAGAAGAAAAGTCTAGGTGTTGTTTAAAAGTCGATAGCCGATAAATAGAGGGGGAGGTAGAAGAGATGAAGACAGTCGGAAGGATACCAGGAAACTCGTCAGGGGAATCGTGTATGGAGTGCCGAGACTCGGGGTCGGACAATGCACTTCGGATCGCATTTATAACCCGTCTTGTCCGGGCCACTCGCGAATAGCTGCACGTCCTATGCACTCCATCGAGACAAATCAAGCCAGATTCTCAGCGAATCAAACACAAAATCCCAAGCTCCAGGTTCGAGCTTGCAAATCCCGGATCCCGCCGCGGGACAGCCAAGACAGGACACCATGCATGCGCTGCAAAAAGAATTCCCAATCAAGTTGGAAAGTAAACATGTCAACCTGCTCAAAGAGCTGGCACCCCCAACCCGAGAGTGATTCAAGGTTGAGTTCCAGGTCAAGCAGGTCGATAAAAAACAAAGAAACGAGAGTTATACAATGCACTGTATGTAATGCTGATATGATGCAGAGTCGTAATCAGGCCGTGTCGATACAACAGACGGGTAAAAGTGGTAGGTTGCGTCAATCGGTTTGGTAGTCGCGCCGTTGTAGACGTCGGGTCGGGGTTTTTCGGTCGATGAGGGTGCGCAAAAGAATCAGATAGCTAAACAAAAATCACACGCCAGCTAGAAATCAGAGCAGAGGAAAGCCAAGGGTAATTCAGTCGTCGCGGCGACCCAGCTCGTACGAGGTCTCGGTGGCCCCGCCGGTCTCTTCGTCCTCTTTGAAGCTCACACTGCGGAGCAGCGTGGGCATCATACGGCGAGCGCGACGCGTAGGAGAGGATGAAAGTCGCGGGCTTATGATAGAGGGCACCTTGGTGTATCGGTAACGGTACTTTGCGCCGAAGAGCATCATTCGGCCATATGTCCACCACAGGCAGATGCCGACGATACCTGCGAGGATGAAGCCACAGAAAGTGAGGAAGACCCAATGTTGGCCCATCTAGAAAAACACGGTTCGATTAGTGACTGCGACGAATATCTAACGGGTAGTTGCCTTACCCAGAAAATCAAGTGCGCGTCCTTGCCATGCCAGCTGTTGCCAGTGTGATGCGTGAAGAAACTCCACGAGAATTTGTTGTACTCGTCCTGCATCAAAATGCGCACGCGCCCAGATTCGCTAGGCTTATCCTGCATATACTCCTTCCAGATGACCGACAAGAAAAGCGGACCCGTCGAGTACATCACCGTGATGTAGGGTAGCACCCACTTACGGTCATACTGCTGTAGCAACTCGATCACACGGAGGAAGAATGGATGTTGAGGCACAGAGCCCATTGCATCATTGGAGATACCAGTTGGCACGGTGCGACGAACCCAAGCGGGGTATGCGAGGAGCGGGTCCAAACGGCGGTTGCAGCCCTAGAAAAGTATGAGAATTGGCTCAACTGAGACAGCGAAAAAAACATTGGGCAACGTACATCATCCAGGTCAATATAAGTGCCACCGTAGTGCGCCAGGACAAAGTAGCGAATCGAGTCTGCGCGCTGGATGGGGTACTTGTAGCCATCGAAGGTGTCCAGGAACCAGGGGTACTCGGCGACGATAAATTCGCGAGACTTTTCATCAGTCCATAGCTGCGCGAGAGTTAGTGACACGGAGTTCTCCGGTCAACCGAAGCGTCGGTGTTCCCATGTGGGAATTTGTTGGTGTCCACGTACAATATACTCATAGTCCGGGTGCAAGTCAATGCAGCTCTGTTGGGCCTCACGCCACACCTCGGGGATCGTCTCGTTCTTGTAAGTCTGGTGAATGATCTTGGGAATGATTTGAGGCCGTGTCTCAATTAGACTGGAGTTGGGAGACGGCAGCTCCGCACGGTGAATGGCATCGGCGGCCGCATCCTCCACTAGCAAGGAAAGCAGAGTCGAAACGCTGCGAACCAAAAATGTGAGGATGAGCAAGTTCACCAGGATGAAGATCAAGAGACCACGTCGCATGGTGGGTGTGTATTGCGACGAGGTGTCGCGTTGTGAGTGAGAGGTGAGGGACGGGTTTTGTTCTCCGCGGGCGAGGATGCGACGTCGACAATTGAGGGTGAGAGTATGTTTTGTGCAATTGAATCTGTACACAAAGCAAGTTCGTCAAGTCGTGTCGTGAAGGACTCACGGGCCTCCGTGGGCCGTCGGGGGAAGAAGGTCAATCTGGAGAAGCAATCTCCTCGGAGTTGGTCGTAAAGGGGAAATCGTAATCGCCCACGGTGATGCTTTAGCAGACGGTGACCATGAAGAGCGTGTGTAAGTGCGCGCGTATATTTTCGGAGACGGATGTGGTGAAGAACAGACGACGGCGACGTAGCAGAGTGTCGACTTAGGTTGAGGTAGAGGTTGGGGGGGAGATGGTGTCGTCGTTTAGGGAGAGGATTGAGCGGGATGGGGAGAACAGAGAGAGTGAGAGAAGAGAGAGACCCAAATAATCGAAAAGAGTTAGAGTCGGCAGGAAATCAAAAAAGAGAGGGACCAAGAAAAATAATACGAGAATAATAGGGGAGGATCATCGACGATAATAAGGAGTGACAAGGTGGGGAAGGGGGCTAAAGCCAAAAAAGAAAGGAGCGAATGTTGATGGTTGAGTTGAGGAGAAAGAAGGAAGTGAGCCAGCAGCCAGAAAGTCTGTCTGGAGGATGAACGGGGGAACCTGGTAATGTATGGAAATACCAATACCGACCATCAGGGGGCGAAAGGCAAAATGGTCAATGATGCTCCGTGATTGGGGGAAGCTCCACTCGATTGCGTGGAAATGCGTGGTAAGTGGGGAGAAGCTTACTTTCTTTTGTCCCTTCTTCACTTGCAGTTATTACCAGAAAGATAGGAGTTCCGAGATGCGATATAGGTAAAGTACGGAGTACTCGATGATCATAGTATGTTCGTTTCCCAAAGCAAGCACTCATACCTAAAACCTGAGCTGTACCGAAACGCTGATGTGTGTGCCGCCTGCGCAGAGGCTGAGCAGCGTGGCTGTGGCAGATTACCTCCAACCGTAACCCTTTGATTGGTTGGCTGGTCAGTCCGGTGGGGCAAACTCCAGACCGTTGTATTCTACATGTAATCCACCGTAATGGATGGCGGGTATTATCGTCGTACGGACTATTGAGCAGGTTTTCCCTAGGTTCACTTCTAATGGAAGTGGTGGCCATAATTACGCAGGTCTATCCATACAATCAATCATCATCCATACACCGAGGGTGGTTTCATCGCTGCCTTGCGCCCCCAAGTCCCAAACCAGGGCAGTGCATGTGGCCCTCAACGGGTACTAACCAAGAAATGAGTTATCTTTAGCGACAGACACGTACCCTATCCTCGGCAGTGAGAATTCATATCTCCAATTGGGAGGCCTGATGGTATCATAGTCGTTGACTATCATGACGGGGAAGATCCTATAAATACATATCACCTATTTCTTGCGGCCTGCAGGAAGCCTCAATATACATTGTAGTACTTGATGACCGGTATTTGCGCGCATCATGTAGGCACGACATTTCCACTGGCCAGTGGCCACAAGTATCACTTTTCCCGGTAGCCCTCTTTCCTCTATACAGTCGAAGAACCGATCAACTACAACGTCTACTCCAATCTAGCCCACCCCTCTAGCCTTCATGAGGCAAGTGATGCCTGAGGTTGCGATGCTTGGCTACGCCCCGAGGTTCCTAACCCTGTGCCAGATCCCTTCATTTCTTGGTACCAGAGCCACAATGTGTCCACCTTGGCTAAAGTCGGCTTAAAGAAATTTTCCTATTATTCAACTTCCCTTGCAAATTTAGTGGACTTCCTCGGTTTCTTTTTTTGTGTACATAAGCGGATGTCGGGGATCGGAGTTCTCAAATACCAACCCAACACACAAGGGGGGATAGTCCGTCTAGAAAACTCCGTCCATATCGGCATCCTTCAGCCCGTTCGCCGTGTGGTGTGGCGGTCCCTCGGTATGACTGCCCCGAGACCAGGCGACCGTTGCGGGATTGCGTCAAGGGTTCGCCGATAAGCCTATAGTGCTGGCCCGGTGACATCTTGCATCCGTTGTGCAGTACTGCTGAAATAGAAGAGAGCGGAAAGTTTATGTGGGATTATGCCTGCTGAGCATGCCGAGCTCCTACAGATTCTACGATAAGGTTATTCGACGCAAAGATTACCTAAATAGGGAGTCTGTTCGGCCGAACGGGACTCGCGTTGATTCTCTTGAATTGTTTCGTTGTCAACCAATAATACCGTCGGTCGGACTCGGGTTAGGAGTCGTGTATGCGACCGTTGATGCACTCTAGTCGACCGAGTTACGGTATTTGCGCCTATGCATTGGTTATTGAAATCCACTGCGGTGCACGGCGCAACCGTGCAAGGAGTTTGATCAAACCTCCCGTCGGCGTAATAATCTACTGGGTTGCTTGGAAGAGACACTAGCGAATATCCTTACGGTAAACCCACCGTTCCTGCTCCACTATGGGCGTACTCGTATCTCGTATCCACCGTATCCTGGACATGCCTGTAAAAAAAACCCTCCTCCCATCTTTTTCCCTCCACCCTCAACGAGTCGTCACGGGCCAAGGAGGCTAACTCGATCCGGCGTAGCATGTCTAACCGTTCCCCTGTTTCGTCCCCACAGGACCCCCAAACCAAACAAAAGCGCGGACACCGGACAAACGTGCTGGTCCGTCCCAAGACTCCATGGTCAAACTATCGACCGAGGGTGAAAATTGTAATGCCAAGTGGAGGAGGAATGCTGGGTTTCGCTTTACGCTCCACTTTCGGCGTGGGTTGTGCGAGTGCGAGGACTCGCAGGGCACACTGGAGTAGAGTAAAAAGTTTGGTCAGTGCTAGCCATGGTTCGGTGATCGGTTGGGATGGTTTTGGGCTTTCCGCGGGGATTTTGCGATCGCGATGGTCACAGTCTGCGATTAGAGTTGAAATTTGAATTTACAAGGTGGTTGTATCGTAGCTTAAAGATTTACTATCTTGACAAAGAAAAATAGACTACTTTAACGGTATCACGAGTCAATATCTTATCTTTTTCCAGTTGTTGAAGATACTATCCTCTACGTACTGCAGTATACTCCGTATACCGATCTTACCAAGATACAGTGCTCGGCGTTAATCCCACCACTCTTTCTAACCATCTTCTTCAATTGACACAAATACTCTCCCATCCATCTACCCCCCAAACCAAGTTCGCTTCGATCATCACCC